CCACATTTTAATTACTGCCCGGCTGCAGTATGCGCCTCTTTGATATGGAAATAAAGGCAACCATCTTCACACTGCCACTGTACAAATCTTCATTTGATTCATAAAAAACAATGAGCCCGACTAATTCCAGCACCTGATCACAGTCCCAGACCTGTGTCAGAAACACGTGGCCACCAAGGGCCCACCAATTAATTCTACATATTAATCTGTGATTTAAAAAAATCAACAGAAGCTACTTACCATAGCCTAGACTGTTGCATTTTGATGTCAAAGTTAATTATGCACAACTATGCTATGGACTAAGAGAAAATGTCCAATTATTTTTTTGAAAAACATTTTCGGTGGGAGAGTGAATGATACAGATCAAAATGGGCCACTTAGGTTACTTGTGCAATTATGCCGCTCCTGTGAAGATACACATATTTGGATTTTTTTTTCATCTGTAATCCTTTAATGTCAGCAATGCTGTTCACTTACAGCAGCCAGAGGGACACGGATATCTAATAGAGCAGAAAAAACTGCCCCATGCCCGTGTCGATGTTTAGTGCTGGAGCACATAGGTGCCATTTGTTTCTGAATGAAAGAATACCGTGTACTCAAGTTTAAACCTTTCACATTAGAGAAACGTGGATACAATTGTAAATGCTTTAGATTATCCTTAAACAACATTGTATATTACATCGTTGTATTACTCTGCCTCGACTTCCTCTCAGCTTTTTCGTGTAAAACGGTGACTTGTGGAGGCGATATCCCCAATGTAAGCTCGTAATAACCCAGTTGAAGGTTGATTTCATTGCTATTTCTCCTCTACAAGAAGTGACAATTGATCACATTTAGAAAAACCACAATTTCCTCCTGTACAAGCACAAATCCTATCCATCCAAACAGAACACATCTACACCGTACTGGTTTTCTTAAAGCCACGAAGCCTCAAAAACCTGAACTACCAAATGTACTTTAGTGTACACAGAGAGGCATACATTCATTATACATAACACCGTGCATCGGCTAATCACTATGTCGCGTTAGGCATCGTGACAGAAGTGACATGTTACTAACATGACAGAAACTTCTTGTTGAAGGGGACAAATTAGCCTAAAAAATACTATGGCATGTTCCCATCAATTTTGATCATTGTTGAAATGTTCTAAAGCAAATTAGATAACACTTAGAAAGACATATGTCACAACATGTGCTGCCACATGTATTATCTCCTGCAGTCCTCCACCCTCCTGATGCCCCCCTCCTCTACCTTTACCAGGCCTGCTGTTGTTTACCTCTTCTCATCTTGTTTATCATCAGGTCTCCGCCGCTCCCACCACTACCACATAGCGAGGGAGACATAGTACCTGTGCACCCCCACCCCCACCTCTATAGCTTCCACCTCCCTGCTCACATCCCGGCAGCAGCCTGTCACTTGCGACAAAAAAGCTGTATTTCTGCAGAACACAGTATATATGGAAAGATAACACAATGTGTACGGTCTCAGTTATCTGGTCTAAATGGCATCTGGTCTGGAGACAAAGCGTGGCTTTTTAGATTTTTGACGCTTCAAATCAAAATCAACAGCAGTGTTTTTCCAAGTAAAGAAGACATTATATTGCAAAATATCTGACAGGGGGAAAGTATCACTCATGCATGCACACACACTGAGGAGGCGTACATAGGGCTAACACACACACGTACAGAGAGAGAGAGCAGCACTGTACACTTATACAACAAGAGCCGTTTTAGAAAGATTTCATTATAGGGAGACCTGGAGCAACGTACTCATAACTTTGTATTAATAGTCTACGTACAGTATCACACAAATTGTTATATTGTGTGTGACATTGTTCAAATCACAAAACATTATTATAATTTATAGTCCAATTGCAGAATTAGGTCCTTGAAATCAGCTTATCGTGAGTTGGAATTGGTTGTAATTTCAAAGAATAATTTTTGGCAGAGTAAAACCTACAGTAACCAGTACTCTCATTTCACATCACTGTGTGGCGTTTACAGAAATAATATTTGTTTTTGAAGCAGTGACATAAAGAAACCCTTTTAGAATTACAAAAATAAATCTTTGAGCTCAACACTGATGAAGGGACTCTAAGTAGAGAGAGTCACAGTTATTCCCAATGGAAAACATCTGCTGTTTATTCTAAATAATTAGATTCACCTTCTGTATAAATAGTAGAAGCTGAAGGCATCAATGTGCACATACAGGTGAGCTATAGCCTATATGAAAAACAATATCACTTTAAGCATGTTTCTTACTGAATCGCGCTCTCTTTCCCTCCCTACTTCCCTCCTGCCTTTTCTTTGATCCCACTAATTGCTGGCACAAGAGCTTAGTTAAAACAAATCCTACCTTCAGATGATGAGGACAGGTAAAAGTCGAGCTACAAGTCAATTCAGTTCATGGCAAAACAATTCAGATGGGCTAATTCACAACAACATTTCTCTTCCACTCAATAGAACAAATAACAACAAAAAAGGCTTAATCTCAATGTATAATGATGAAAGAAAATCTCAGCAGCAAAGTTGTTCTTGCAACACGGAGACATTGGACTTGGACAGAGTGCAGGATGTGTTTAGACAAGTGAGCCAGGTGGCTTCTCCCTTCATGCCAAAATAAAAGTCCTAAAAATCTTTGAACTTACTCAGCGTTAGCGAGTATATATCTTATGCTGAGTCCAGGTTGGAAATGCTGCCTTTCTCAGTCTTGCAAAAAGCTCAAGATCCACCTGAAGATTAGTCCTTCAAAATATAGAAAATGTGTAAGGCCAGTCAGTGTGAATTATGATAGACATTATTGCCCTGCAGTTCAGTATCACGTACCAACAAATTGCCAGTCTTTAGTTTTTGATTAATGTTTAAATCAGAGACAGTTACTGTGAAATGTCCCGGGCAACACTGATTAAACAGCCAGGATTATTTCAAGGAATCCCATTGCCAAAACTAGGAATATTTTTTCAATATTTAAGTTGTGTGTTAAAACTCCAAACAAGTTTAGAAAGGAAGAATGTAGCCTAAATAATTATAGACGATTGTTTCTCTGCAAGAAATGTAAGTAAGATATTATAAATAAGAGCCAAGTGCGGTTGTGTGTGGCATCAAAGGGCTCTAATGCCGCTTTTCACTCTTCCCCTCTCGCTCTTTCAGCGACACGCTGAGCTGCACAAGCCGTCAGAGACAAACTCTTCTGGAGACAGAGCCGAGTGTCCCTGTATAGCAATCAGGACAATGTGCTGAATGGGCAGTCTAATTATAAATGTGCCATTTAGACTCGCATTTGGTCTCCGGAACCTTATTACCTTATGAGGGAACCTGCGTTCACAGATACAGGAAGAGCAACTGTTCAAAACAAAATACCACAAGGATAGAAAGTTTACTGCGACCCCGCGAGAATGTGCTTTTGTTGAGTTTTAAGGAGAGATCATTTACAGTAATTAGCCACAGGTGCGTTATTAGCGTGGTCACGCGACGCATGTGATCATCGTTTAATTGATAGAAAAATGACACAACTGCACTACTCAAATTAAGTTTGTAAGTGTTTTCATCGCATAATATATATGTGTATTAAAATGTTATTAGGAATCCCGCAGCCGCTTTATAAAGGCTTGTTTGTGTTAGGGAGTGTCTCATTTTGGGAAAACATCTTAAAATGAGGGATCAACTCTGCGATGTCAATACCATGTTTCATTTATGATATTTTAATAATATTTTAACAAGCGTAAAAATATGTTTATTAAGTTTGCACAACATTACAATTTCTCGGAGACATTATATTTTTAAATAAAATCTAAAACAAACCAGATCAAAGTGTATTCTCTGCACTAAAAATATCTAAACTATAATTGTCTTTTTAAAGGCCAAATGGTTAATGTATAAATGGTCTCAAATAAAATGTCTAAAATGTGTCTAATGTAAGAAAGCAATTACTCCTTATGATATTAAACACATTTGCACTTTTAACAAGAGATCCTCTGTTCGGTCCGGAGCTCCGGGCTTCACAGACTTCGGCTTAAATGGAAAACTGTCTGTTGAAGTACATCTTCTCTAAATGGACAAGCCGTGCGATTGTTGAATTTAATGTATGGCTTATGCATTCTTTAGAGGTCAATTCCCCTGACCCTCCGAGAAAGTTAAGGAAGAACAAATTCCCAGGCTATACGGGGGCCAGAAACTCGGTTTTTGTCAATAAAAAAAACAGAAATCTACGGATGAAAATCAGTTCTGGGGGCAAAGTGGCCCGAGCTCTATAAAGGTAGCCTATATGAGATATGTGCGAAAGCTTCAAATAAACGTGTCCCCCTCACATGCAGAGGGGAACCCTACCAGGCTGCACGTCATTGTCAATGAATAGTACCGCTGTGTGGACAGAAGGGAAACTGCCACCAGCTGAAGAAAGTTACGGGACATGTAAACACAAACACCAAAGCGCTGTAAACATGAAACTATTTAACAGTTAAGTAAGATTTGCTACTTGTTTGTGACGGTTAAGTGTACATGTTCTCGGTGACAGAGGTCCGGTTTGTGTGTTAAGGCAGTCCGCTGAGTCCGCTCGCGCGGCTTCACGCTGCTGAAATAAACAAAGCAAAAACGAGATATCAAACCTTTAAAGCTGGTTGAGGTTGTCTCGAGATATAGTTCTAATGAAGTTAGGTGTTAGATTTAACGCAGATTCGCCGATTCTGAGTTGAACCCGAGCGCCTCGGAGCCAGCCACTCTCGTCTCGCGTTTACTCCGCTTGTTTTGGTGAAAGCGACGCATCAAATAATCACAATACTGAAAGTTTGACAATCATTTCCCCCGTTGGAAAAATGTGCGAACTCGTTTAAGCTCAAAACATGAATAACTTTCTTAAATAGTTTTAAAGCGAAACGCGCGCACTGTGCCGGAACAGTTCACTGACAGCGCGCTCGACTTTTAGGATTCAGCAATAAAACACAAGGTGAAAATATCAGAATAACATAGAGCATGTTGAAAAGTACAGCAAACGTGTTGTTTACCTTGATGATCTGAGTCGTGGAGAAGTTGTGTATTCGTCCTTTTCCGTGCGTAAACACTATACTAAACGGCAACGCTACACTGTAGAAATGATCACTGAGCTATCTGTTGAGCGAAAACTTAAGTGTGCTCACACGGGGCCATATGAGGGGATCGTGTACTCTGAAGTTCAGCTGTCCAAAACTACAAGTAGCTTTTGTTGTTCGCCTATCTGTTCTTTATCTCGCTCTCTCTCACTCAGACAGGAGAAGACGATGGGTAGAGCTGCTGTCAATCTTGGCAATCAATGCGCGCAGCCATGTCGCAAGTATTCAAAGCATTTCCCGTCGTGCAACATCAGAAAGTGAGTGGCCAGGGCATTGATCTGAGGAAGGCAAAGAGGCAGGACTCCCCCCTCCTCCTCCCAGACAAGAGATGCGAGAGAGAGAGAGAGGGGGGGGGGGGGGGGGGGGGGGGGGGGGGGGGGGGGAGAGAGAGAGATTTGTGGCGAAATAAAAGTGGAGACAGGGAGGATGGTTGTAACTGCCCGCAGTTTAGTCCGTTTAATAAGCTTACTTAGATGAACACTACTTACAGGCGCAGCGACTTTTCCATTTTAGAGGTGCAACACTTTGAGTGACAAAGCAACACTTTTTTTAATGTATTTTGAAAGAGGACAGCTAACGTAGCCTACTGAACTCTCCAACTTCATTGAAAGTGTTTAAAGATTAGGCTACCGTTTCTTTGGAGGAAAATGTGTTCAGCTGACATGAGATAATAAGAGCAGGTGAGACTCACTAAAAGGGCAGCAGGGACTCGTGTAAACGTGTGTGATACAACAGTATTTATTTTTTCATAAATACAGTCACCACCTAAGTTAAATCTACAAATGTTTTCCTTTGTAATACCTTATTTAACAACCATGGGGAAAAAAACATTTAGATGTACTAACCAGAGGTTTGCAGCTTCTCTTCAGATTTCTGCATATTTCTTGGACTGAAATGTATATTATGCACTTCAACTTTTGAAAAGATAAAATATATTTTTGACAGATTTTCCTATAAATAGTACTTGCAACGTTCCTCTCGTCATGTAGAGTGTTAAACATTTATTTCCACGCACCCATATTATTTGATGAATACATGTTTTGATTCCTAGAAATGGTACACAATTAAAGTAGGCTATCCTCATGACATGCTCAACATTTAGAATTATATAATTGTATTAATGGACCGATTTTCAATATAAAAATGATAGTTCTCTAATTGATTGGAATAATAACGTGGGTAAAAGTTATTTTCCAGCATCAAATTGAACGTTTTACTTTCATTTTTGTATTTGTTGTATGTATAAAATCTATAAAATGTCTGTATAAAATCCAAGAAGATATTTTTTCTAGAACATATAATTTAAGATACCAAATGTGTTAACTCACTACCTTAATGTAAACACTTCATATTATGCTAGACCTTAACATTCAATTATATAAATCCTGTATTGTGTTTCAAAGCAGATCCAGGGACCAGCCGTTTGACATCTGAAATGACAGTAAAGGTCCATCGGCTGACCTAGGAAACCCACAGGTTGAGATCTCTCGCTAAAACAGAGGCTTTTACAATGAGACACTTCTCTGTTTTGAATGAAAATGTGTTTGAAATTATCAACTGAACTTGGAAGAGGCCCCACATATGTCAAACACACGAAATAAATGTCAATGGAGAAGAGCACAAAACAGAGAAGAGTCACAAATGAAAAACAAGAGCGAGACAACTGATGGAAAAGTTGTAATCTAAAAATCAGCAGCACCCTTTTGTGACATACAAAAATAAACCCAGTATAGCCTACATTACAGCATTTACCCACTATGAATTCGCTTTGCCACATGCCTAAAGTGTCACAACAGCAGACTATCATGGATCACATAAAATAAATAAGAAAGTTACTTACAAAGACAGGAGACAGCAGGATGAAATTCTGATTGTTAACTGCAGAGTCACATAGAGCTGCAAGAGGGAGGAGAAGCACAGAAAGAGAGAGAGAGAGAGAGAGAGGAAGAGAGAGATGGGGGTGTGAGGGGGGGATTGGCCACATCAGCTCACATTCCCTTCCTTTTTTTTTGTTCAAGGTGAAGTAAAACGCACCACATCTCCATGAAGAAGAATCTCAATTATCAATTTGTCTCAATTCATTTAGTTTTGAGTTCACGTTTTAAATATCCACTTATTTCTTTATGCTCAGTTTAATTTGCTAAACAAATTGCCAATGGTAAAAACGAGAAAGAAAGGAACAGAAAAGAATATAAAAACAGAATAGATAAAAGGAAAGTAAGACTTACCTTTCCGAAATGAACTTTTGTTTCTGTAGTTCTGCGGACCCTTTGAGCACCTCCTGAGACTGAACAATGGAAAACTAAAGGAATCTAAAGAATTGTGTGTTTCAAACACAGTGAAACACCTCAGTATATTGAAATTAGATATAATTCTCCAACCATCTAACTCTGAATCGTTCAGATCCACGCATGATGTGATGTCTGCTCTGTGTGAAGACTCTTCAGGAGCGGACTTCCCGGGACTGAAATGTGTGTTTCACGTGTCTCATACGCCACCTATTGGTCACTACAGGAAACACCTAGGTACTTCCTCAAGCCCTCAAACAGCAGATGACTGTATTAGAGACAACAATCTGAGGATCTGTGCCACGACATTCAGCCTTTTTTCTGGTAAAGACTATGCTGCCCGATCTGATGTTTAAATGTAGTCAACCCTGACTAAATTGTAGTGTAAAAATTGCATCTTAGCAGTGAAATCATATATTTGAAACACTTTTTTTTTCAAGCATTCTGCTTTTGACTGCATTATTGCTGCTTTGAAAATGAATGTTATTTGCATTGGAAGAAAAATGATGCAAGAAGACAAAACTAATTTTATTTTCTTATTGTTGAATTTAACCACCAGACTTTAACAGTGAAACATGACATATGGGTGCAGCTGAGCAGGTGCCAACAAACTCTGTACAGTTCTCAAAACACAAATATAGACTCCTATTTCTACAGAGGTGACTGTAATGGCTTCCTCTTCATAGCTCAGATGGTGGAGTGCATGAAGACAGTCCAACTTGTTGGGGGGTAAGGCATTTGCATACCCTGTGAGTCTTTGATGCATCTTGAAATTCAAGTCTAGCCCATAAATATTTGAAAAGGAGAGTGCATGAAAATCAACATTTTTGTTACATTAAATTAACATGTGTTCTTCTCCTGTTCTGCATGGTTAATTGGAGAACAGCATTCAGTCAGTGAGTGAGAATGATAGAGGGGAGGGGGGGAGGCTGCTTTGATTACTGTGCAGACGGAGCAGGTTTTAAAGGTGTGCTGCTGATTCATGCACAGGAAGACATCGATTTGTATTCTGAATGAGAATTCACAATTATCTGCTTTATCCAAGAGAAAAAGAGTTGTATTTCACACCTTTTAGCATACCCTTAAACTAATAAAGCCTCACATGTGGCAGGACATAGCTCCTAGTAACACCTGACTATGTAGCATTAGAAACTGCATATACATTAAAAATAAATATTTCTTACACACAGTAACACATTATGATTCAGTTGCAGACATTAGGGCTTTATTTAAGTGTTTATATGTCAGATAACGTGTACGTTAACATTGTATAATATAGTTTTATCATATATATTAAGTCTTCAGTAGTTTTAAATACATTTGAAACAGTTGTAAATATGTTGTAAATGTGAACCAAGTGCTTTATAACACACTGTAAAATTGTTAGGAGCCTATATATAACTATATTTTCATTACATAATTTTAAACCCTAACCTAAAAAGGATTGTAACATGTGCATGATCACATAAAACATATTTATTATTAAACCTGAGTGAAATCTTTAATTCATATATCTTCATCTTCATATATTCTTAATCATCATGTATAGCTCTATCCTGACTTAAAGGAATGGGCTGATGAGCAGAGACACCTTTGTTTCACACATGTATTTCATGATCAAGATGTTTACAAGCATCACATCATGGACAAGTCAAATCTTAGCCTTTGGAAATGTTCTTCGTGAAAGACATTTTTTGGAAGCTCTGCTCATTTACTTTTTTTGAGAGTGACATGAAAATGTAAAGATAGACACACTGTGTTAAATGTCTGAATATAGAAGATGTTGATCTTGATTTGCAAACAGTTACATAGTGTCACATACTTTAAGCAGATCCTCATTGATGAGAAATAACACAAATCTAAGTATACTTCTGTGAGCACCCTTACAAGCCATTAGGGAAACATTTCTGCAGACGGTCACAACCACGGACATGGTTCGACATCCACAAAACCAACACGACTGACTTAGTTATTATTGAATTCCAAGTTATGCAATTAACTCAAACACTATTTGCATACATGCAAATCGCCTCTCTCCCAATCGGACTTGCAAAGTGGGACGCTCTGTTCTCATTAGTTGACCCAAATCTCTTACTTGTAACTCTGGATTTCATCAAAGTTTAGTCAGGATCTAATATTTCCTTTCAAGTTAACAGAGAACTACTGATTAATCATGTTGCAATAAGGAGTGCAACATGCCAATTCTAATTATATACTTATCAGGGATACCATCATACAGCCCAGTGCCAACAGTACTACAAATATCAACTCTGTAGTACTCATGAATACACGTTAAACCAATGATTTATTGTACTATTTATGTTGTGTATTTCTAAATACGTTACCTGCTGTTCGGTTTTTGAAGAATCTTGTAGCGTGAAAACTTCTTCTTTTTCAGAAAACGAGACATGGAATCGGTTTTTTATCAAAATGCAGTTTTTAATCAAATGTTTTTTCCAAATGCATCTCTGGTAACGGCCTTATACGACAGTGAGCACACCATTTTTCTCTTTTAATTTAACTGATGTATCAGAAATGTAAAAAAAAACTGATGGAAATAAACTGATCTCTTTGATAGTGCACTGTAGATCCATGAATGCATTTGTAGCCTTTTTCATTTGAGTAGCTAAACATATTCAATTTCACTTAGATCAGTGTGTGTGTGTCTGTGTGTGTGTGGAAGGAGCTGCTAGATTAAAGAGGAGGCCCGGGGGCATTCGGTTCATTTACAAAGCAATTGCTTTTATGTACAAAAAGCCCAATTCACTGTAGGTATTGTAAAAGCCTTCCGTTTAAGGGACATGAGATTAATTCATTGTTTAATTTTACACAGCACTTTCTCAACGCAGGCTTAATCATTTGTGTCAAAGGAATTGTGTTCTCTTTTCAATATTTAATATTTTTACATTTGCCTCATCTCCCCAATGATATCGCAATTGTGAATGCTTTGAAATGAAAGATTACACAAAGGCATTGTTTTAGTTTCTGCAAATAGTAAGTCAGTGTGGTGCAGCACGACTGTAATTCAGCTTTCTCTCTATTCTTTTTATAGCATGCATACACATTGGGAAGAATATTCAGTGATTCCTAACTCTTCAATTATTCAACAAATCACCATTCCATTTCTTACATATTAAAAAATGTATCGTATGTGGAGCTTGAAAATGATAAAAGAGCATAAAATACTATTTTGAAATCAAAGCACCTATTGCATAGCCTCCTTGGTTTTGTATTTGTACAATTGGACTACAATATGGATCCCCAAAGTGCACAAAGAAGGCGCTCGCTGTGATTCCACTGTAATCTAATCCTCAGACATTCACGGCAAGTAATAATATGTATGTGATGGAAATATGTATCTCTGGGAATCAGTGTAGGATTTCTTCTTTCTCTTCCCCTATCAGGGGAAAAGTGTGAATATGTTACACATGCAGTGTGCAGAGCAGTGAACAATACAGACCTGAGAACAAGGTCAGACTCCTCAGCATGGTCTCAATGGGCTCTTCCTTTCAACACAGAGCAGGCAGAAAGGAAAGCAACAAAAGTCAAAGCTTTCACCTCACCAGTGTCACTTTACATTGACATGATATACTTTACTGATAATTACATTGAGACATTTGAGTTACTGCTGCTTACTTATTATCTTTCATTTACTTCTACAAAAGATATTCTCTAACAAACATCCCTGTCATGAATCCAAGCAGTATGTGTCTTAGTCTCTCTGCATCTGATAAAAGCATTTCTGAATCCAGTAAGTATTTAGTTAAGGATTAATGCGGGAGGCCTTGATTGCGTTTAACAGAACAGGACCTTATTAGCATAATAGGCCCTCTTTCATTCTCTTTGAAGTCCAGAGCATAGAATAACAAATGTATATGAACCACCAGCCAAACGTCAATACATGGAAATGCCACAATCCTCAGTGGAGGGTCTTGGGTGAATTTCTGCTGGAGGAGGGAAAAACATCCCATTTTATTGCAAAATAAGCACAACAGAGGATGTGTTGGGTCTTCTAGCCACCAGGGCCAGCAGGCGCTGTGGGGCCCCGATACTGGAGGAGAGATGGAGGTAGAGAGGCTGCTCTCTCAGGTGTTTTCAAAGAGCACTATGAGTGAAAGTAATTACTCTCGAATTAAAGATAAAGATGTCACTTGGGAGGGAGCCGCAACACAACGGCTCACTATCAGGCGTGGGCGTTGTAGCCTTTAATAGTGTTTGCATCACATCCTATCAGCATATGTACCAGGGTTCTTCATGATAAACATGCAACATATTTGTGCTGAAAATGGCAGTCTGTTAATAACAGCACTTTCCATAACAGATGATTGTCTCTGTATTCTTTTCTTTTTTGATCAGATAGGTCAATACATGTATTTCTCAAAAGGTTTCTTTCACAATTGCAAGGGAGACATGGTTCATGATTTAAAGATATGAATTCTGTACTTCAGAATCCAGAGTTTTTAGTATCCACCTTCTTGGTTGAAAATACATGGAATTAAAAATGCCCTTTTGAGATTGAAAAAGCTTTGAACTTAAAAAAAACATTTCAAGAAGCCTCTCTTTTTTGTATTGAGAGTTCACCTCCTTTGAGCATGCCTTAGTTTGGTTCCCTTCTCAAATAATAGAATGAAGTTTAATGGGTCAAGGCAATCAATGTGGAGGTTCAAAGAGAATCCTGGAGCTATGATGAGTCCACATTTTGTACTTTTCTTTGTACATGATTAGAATAAAATACATTCAATGAATGCGTCAGTAATATAAAATATAATATAATATGATAAGGAGCCAAGGCTATTTTAGATGAAAAGTTAATCATTTAGTTTAATATTGCCTTTCTAAATTGCGTCGATTACAAGGCAGATTCATAAACTGAAGGTCATGGATTATTGAATTTCCCTTTCCTTCTGGCTCATGGTAGTTATCGGACACCTTAGCCGATTATGCTATTTACCTCATTCAAACAAAATGAAATGAATATGAATATAAATGATAAAATAATACATATTTCACTAACCAGATATTGTGTTAATATCTTTAATATTTACATTTTTATAAATTTCCATTTGCAACCTTTCCCAGTCACACAGAAAATATGTTAAAGGTTATTTTTCTTCTGATGTAAGCAAAAATAAAATTCATTTTGGCAAGCTAAAAGGAGACTGGCAGTGCTACAGGTACATACATATGATATTTCAAGTGGTTTGTTGTAAGAATATTATCTGAGCTTTAACAAAAATACTACCATCATGATGCATTTAGTACCTTTTGTTCTTAACATTCTGTACCTGACAAAAACAAACAAAAACAGGTTCCCAGTTGAGATCACACTGCAGACAAAAGTGATTCAGTCATATCTTGAAAACATGATACAGTGAACAATTCAAAGTGCAATAAAATGTAGAAAATGTTATCGTGAGATTAACATTGGTTAGACTCTCCCATAGTTAATAAGCACATCAGCGCCCATTGCAAAGTCTTCCATTTTCCATCGTTTTCAGAAATTAGAAAATCTTTAACGAGTCAATGCTTCGTGAGCCTCAGAGAGCAGGATAAAAGTTTAGTAACGTTCTTGTACTGCTCTATGGAAAAGTGTAAAATTCCCCAAATCCTCTTTTCCTGTAGATCCTAGGTGTTTGTTGTCATTTTGGAATAGCACCTCAGTGTCCAGAAATGGCTTGAGCTGAGAAGTGATCAGAGAGAAAGACAAAGTAAGTACCACAAATTAAAAGGTTCTCATTCACTGCTTGGTTCTTCCATTCCTTTCATTGTTAACACATGTGATATTCAAGTAAACATATACTCTTACTCAATGTTTGAATTCTTAGTTGAAAAGAAGGTTTTACAGTGTATCATTGTAAAATCAGTTTTGGGAAGGTTTCAATGCTGACAATATTAACAATAAAGTTACTGTAAACACTGATAGGGATATCTCTGTGTTGTGGTTCTAAGTTACTTCCCTTTAAATACATCCTAATGGTCTATCTTGACTGTCTTTTTGTTGTGTAGTTATAGTGTAAATAACATTCAACCAACTGCAACAACACATATAATAACATCAGAAATGAACATGGGATGAGAGAGGTATCATTCAATCACAGTGAAGCATGCGGTCGAACAACTTCTCGAAGGAATGAAGATTCCTCATATAGTAGACAACGACACATTCAAGTCATGCAAATAGTAACTTGCTTTCACTTCCTCTGACATGACATAAATGCTGCATGATACCAAGAGGTTAAAGGCAGCTAGGTGGAGACTTTGGTCATTGTGTTTGATTGTTTTTGATTAAAATCAGGTTATTTTATGTAACTGTGTACATCTAGTGCACATTACAATTATATCCAGAAATAAATACACATATTTAACCTACCTGTAGAAGGATAATGGTCTTATTTATAGAAATACATCTGGGGGGAAAAAATCAAGTTATCACTCATTGTTGGCTGATTAATAAGGCAGTAAACCTTTGTCAATGCGTTTACAGTAACAACAATGATATCTACTGTGTTATTTTCCGACTTTGCGAGGCCACACTACAGATGGGGAGCTAATTGGAGCTGTGAATGCAGCTGTGCTGACTACTGAACTGTCAAGGTGCTAAATCAAAAGGTTTCTCCTTTGTTAATTATACACAATGCTACAACAGTCATGTTCATTTCAGCCATTTTTTCCTCAAGCATCTATAAATATTTTGGCAGTGATACAAAAAGAAAAAAGAGAAAAACAATTTACAGACAATTATCACAGTGGGATGAGCAGACTGCCTGCAGATGTTTGTTTTGATTATAATGGGAGTAGAGGCAGGGCTTCCCTAACCTAGACAAGATGTGTTTCCTACAATCACAACAGAGCAGCAAGCATGCAGCGAGAACACACAGGAGCACCGTGTTGCAGAGGATTAGTGAGGTCTTGGAAACATTAACACCGTAAAACATGCAGTTAGGCCTTACTTTATTTCTTGGGTTAGACAAACGTGTAGTGAATTCCGTTGCTTAGAGGAGAGGGAGGCGCCAGAGACACAGAGGGAGAAGGAGAAACCGAAGGAGCAGGAGGAACATAAGGAGTAGGGTGGAAAGGAGGAAGAGGAGGAGCAGGAGGAAGGGGAGGACGAGGAGGAGGACGAGGAGGAGGAGGAGGAGGAGGAGGAGGAGGTGGAGGGGGGGGGGGGAGGAGGAGGAGGATAGGTGGGGATGTTAGCCAGTGGTGGAACTATCGAGAAGAGGACAGGAGGGAAAAAAAGAAAAGAGAAAATCAAATTGGTTTGTTAGTCACACGGCGAACTCTGTTAAAGTCACATTGAAGGCTAAAACTGGTGCATGTTTTGTTCTGAAAACTACACTTTTGTGTTTGTTTACCAAATGACACAGGGGGTGGGCGACATGAATACATAATGAAGTCACTGTATATTTCATTTCATATTGCTTTTCTAGAAAGTCAGTTTACAAAAGAATGTAAATTGCAATTAGCAATGGGAATATCTGGCATTGATGTACTCCATCACAGTGATGATGTATCTCCAATAATGTAATAAGTCTCATCTGCTAAACAATCAGCAGCATTGCCCACAATGGCATGATACAAATAAAAGCATTAAACTGGTAGCATTTACTAAAGAGCTAGTAGATTGATGAGTTGATTGACAGTAATGATTAGTTCATCATTTTAGTCGGCTATTAGGCAGAAGCCAAGAACACACATTTGAGGTTTTGCTGCTCTCTGTGTAAAACATTATTTGTTGTTCTAAGACTAAAAGATTTTTGAACAAAATTAGCAATCTAAGCCTTGGGCACCTGGAAATCTTGATTTCTTTTTTCAAAATGTTCTGAACTTTAAACATAATGAAAAACACACTAAGGATTACACAAGGCAGTTTATTTTTTGAGATCATTAATATGTTGTAGATATTTTTGAGATTCCTTTTAATGGTCCTGACAAGTAATAACAAAAAATAACAAATTATTTAGAATAACATATCTAAAAACAAAAGCACCTTCTTATGTATACTTTACATAATTGCATGGCTGCATATTCCTGCTTTAATGCGATCATTATTGAAGTCTCTCATGCATAATACCATGAAAGGACCTTTCTTTTAATTCAAGGTTTGAAAGTGCACCAGCATACCTTGCTTTAACACCAAAGGGAGAGAAAGAAAATCATTTATTTAGTCTCCGCTGACAAGATGCCAGCAGTTATATTCTCTGACATTTCTCTATGCTGGAAATAATGTTATAATTGTTGACTTTGCCTCACTGTGCATATTAAGCTTCCACACACGGTGACAGCTTGAGTGCTAGTGTGTGTGACAGATGTGTGTGTGTGTGTGTGTGTGTGCGTGTGCATATATGTGTGAGTGAGGCACACAGGCTGACAATCTGCTGCAGCTACAGTGAAAATGAACTTGCCAGTCTGCTGTAGAGTATGAAAGAGATGAAAAGTGAGCGCAGTGTCTTTTATGCAGGTTCAGAGCTGTGTTCAAAGCAGCAGCAATGGTATGCAGGAGAGTGGAGTTTGACTGGGTCATTGATCAGCACACAAAATGGCCCCATCAAGCTATTCCTCCCCTGTCTGAAAGATCCTACATGGATTGCAATTAGAGACTATCTGAGCTCCTAAGAAGGAATAATGTTCAGTTATTAGGAAATGAACAGCCTTATTGCTTGAATCTGCACCTTACGCCCTTCTCATCTCCACTCCATCAATCCAGGATTCTTGAAAGGCTACCTCCCTCTCTTTATCCCCTCTTCAACCAAAAGATGTCCATTTGATGCCAGGATCAATTTGACTCAAACTGTGTACCTTTTTCTCTTTTTTTTATCAGGCAGGTAGTTATTATTAAGTGTTTCTGTAAAATAATGATTTTTACATTCATTATAAAGCAAAGATGTATAACCTACAACAACCTACAGGCTCAAAGGAACAGAACATTATTTTTAAATTGTTATAATGACCAACCTGTGACTAGTTTGCTCTTGAGCGAAGCCTCCGATGCCAGAGCGTAGGACATGGTGATGATCCTCTCCTGCTCCTGCAGCGCTGAGTCCAGAGCCACCAGCCCAACCCCTGGCTTGTCCACGGTCACTGCAGGTGCCAGGTTGTGCACACTGGAATAAAAGACCAAATGAACTAAACATGATGAATTGGTAATAATGTGGAAATGCATTATTTGCTGGGAAGGCGTTTTCTTCAATGTGAAGGAGGAGCATGAGCTGAAGCCCGGTGCCTTCGAAAGGTGGCCAGGTTTAGCATTGTGCTTGAGGAAATGTCTGTAGGGCGAGTTATTGCCAAAACGGACAATTTGGCTTACTGCAAGGCCTCCCCAAAAGCCCACTCTGGTGTTCATCAGCAACACTTAATTTACCTGGATTTTGCCAAGATGCTCTTGATGCGCTCCACCTTACGATAACGATCCTCCACCTCCTGCGGACTGAGAGGCTCCTCAGGCTCTGAATCCACATAGCGCTCCGGGATCAACACTTTCTGAGGCTTGGAAAGCTTCACGAAACAGATATAGTGTGTGTTAAGGTCCAAGCTGCCATTTCATCCCCCTTGCTATCTGGTCACTTCAAAAAATGATCTATCCAATTGCACAGATTAAGATTGGATATACAACCTTCATTAAACTAAGGATATACGCAGGAGTTAAAATGCCCTTCACATTTCTTAAAGTAAAAGTAAAGTATAAGGACTTTAACAAAGCCTTTACTCTCCAGCTTGATTGAGGCTCAGGTCAAAGCTTATGATGAATTCAAGGTTTTTTCTGAATGTCTGCATTTATAAAGCATAATATCCACGCACCAACATAAGTTAGATTGTTATTTTTATTCAGCTTCCTGGGCCTGAATGCAATAAGGGAATAAAAGGAACAAACTTTGTCTTTCATCTTTTTATATACTTTTTGGACTGTGGTTGTTCTTGGTTGAGTATCATGTGTTTTCTTCTACCTTTATCATATGCATGTATTGATTTCAAACAACAAAGCTGTATGACTTTGCTTGGAGAAGATAACGTACCTCTTTGTTAAGGTCCAGGTCATAGTCTAGTGGTTCCAGGTCGACCTCATGGGCAGGAGGAGTCGTGGCCGTAGAGCACAGGGTCAGCCATTCGTCAGAGTGCGAGCGGGGTCTCTCCTTGTGCTCGGGAGGTCTCTCCTCCCCCTGAACGCTCCTCACTGCCTGCGCCTCCTCCCCCTGAACAGCCCTCTCAAGCAGCTGCAGGTCAAAGTCCTGCTCTCTCTTCCACTGGACAACACAAAAAGGAAAATAATACATTGTTAAACAAATAACAGGACACAACTTCTCAAGTACATTTGAAAATGACTGGATTCACTTGCCTTCCCACATCATGATATGTTACAAGTACTATAAATTGCATAAGTAGGCTATCATGATTTGAAATGCTGCAGAGTGTGTGAGTGTTTGTGTGTTTACAGGTGTGAACATGAAAAAAGGGGGAGCATGCATCTATTGAATATGCATGCCTATGCTCTCAATATCACAGCCTGCTGTACATTCTCTACACCAGTGATAAATAAGACAGAACAGTGACAGACACAGACAGGAACGACCACTTCACTCATACTGATGACCAAACAAAACCATAGTGTTTGCATTGAGAGAAAAACAATATAATAAATAAAAATACATGGCAATATGAGTGCATTAGAAAATAACGTTTATTTTTTGCATTTACATTCACATTTGAAAAAGGAAGCATTCTTATTACTAACAATTAACTAACTGATAAAGACATTGAGCAAAACTGAAATCACTTAACCTATGTTTTGATATGAAATGGATTAGCATACACATAAGTATTGTCTAAATGAAAGGCTTCCTCTAACGAAGATGGGTAGATTGGAGAACAGTAGTCCCAGATCCATAAGAACATCCTCATATTGATTCAGTAAAGAAAAGCAGGACAAATGCCATGATTAGGTTGAGATGAATATGCTTGAATAGGCATTGCTCAGTGTATGTCAATGATTTGGCCAGTAGAAAATAAGGCACTTTCTCTCTTTTACTCTCTTTCTCACACATAAACACATACACACACATAAATGGACTGCTTAGAGACAGCCACAGTACTTAATTGAAGGACAGCAGGCATTGATCTAAATGAGGAAAGACAGGTCTCTTCTGCTATTCTGTAAGCAGAGAACCACTGGAAAAAGAAATATTGAACTTGGTTAAATTATACTTTCAGAATGAAGAAAAAATCAGTAATGAGAGGGATAGAATGGGGCGAGGTGGGCAAAGTTAGTGTCTAACAACTATTAAAGGTGGGGTAGGTAATTTTGGAGAAACCAGCTCGAGTGAGCTAGAATTTGAAAATACACAGCCGGAACAAATCTGCCACTTCCTCACAGAGCCCCTCCTCCAACACACACGAACGCGCACATGACCAATGAGGGCACGAGATAAGTTTGTGCACAGATGGAAGGCTGACAGGCAGGTAGCCCATCCAGTTATTTTAGCCGGGCCGGCTAAAATGATTGGTCGTGCTTTTTACAGTACTACGGCTTCCACAGATGAATTGTTATGGATTTTTTGTCAAAGCACTTAAGATATCCATTGCTCTTGGTGTTAAGAGCATTCCATGGAATATAACAAAAGTGTATCTCGAGCCGGTTTCTCAAACTTACCTAGCTCACCTTTAAAGGGAAAAATTCCAAGAAATTGGGTTTAATGTGAAATGTAGATGGCATTGAGGCCTGAGGTAATTAGTGTGTTACGCGAGTGTGATAGGCAAGATATATGCTTTAAGCAGGAAGACCATCCCTAATAATTGTAAATGTAATTATTTCCACCTAATAATAAACTATTTTTGTGCTACAGTTAAGTATCAAGTGTAAAGCCACTCTCTAAAGGCCTTTTTCATTGTAGATATGTTGACATGTCACAGAAGGAATAATGAAAATGTATTTCCATTCAGTTGATACACTGTCAAAGCTCACTAGAACACTACTGGAAAAAACAGAGCCATCGTTGATGTTTTTAGTAAAAGCTTTTTTTCTCCTGCTATGATAAATCAAATGTCTGCAGTGAAAAAGGCCTATTAAAATCTGAGAACAACATGCATGAATTAAGCACAGTTAGAGCCACACAGTGAATAATCATACTGCTTAATATATTGTATTTCTGTTGACTTTGTAATGTCAGAAACTGAGAAAAGCCAAACTTTGCTGTTTTAAGTCTCGCATTGTAGATCACCACTCTCGGTTTGGTTGTCGTCATGCATGAGATTGTGACATGTGATACTGTTCTAGTAACATACTGATCCCAAGTCTGCAGAAAGTGGGCGCGAGGGTGCAGGCGGTGTGTGCGAGGATGGAGAGGCGTGGCGGTCTCCGTGGCTCAGGGTGCGTTTGCGCTGGCGGACGAGGGCCTTCTGGTGCCTCTTCATCCTCTCCAGCTGCTCATCAGCACTCATCTTCCCCCTCTGCTGCTGCTGCTGCTGCTGCTGCTGCTGCTGCTGCTGCTGCTGCGCCGGCTCCCCGGAGTACAGACGCTCCAAGGCACTTTTTGGTCTCTCCTGAGAGGAGTGGGAGGAATGAGAGTTGATAACACGAGCAAAAGGTGCAGCAGAATGCAAAGAAGTGGAGGGAAATAAAAACAAACAAGAAGGTAAAAGCTAATGTTAATAAGGCATGAAAAAGGAACACGGTAGACAATTCACAGAATGAATACGATACGCGGTTTACATGTAAAAAATAGTTTTTGTTATTTTGTTTTACAGAAAAATGCATATCCATCAAGAATTATAAGGAATACGTTTGGTAAATGGATTATATCTTAGGCAATTCAATATTATTATCTCAAATCTATCCATGAAATTGAAGCGTGACAAAGTCCTTACATCATGGTATGATGGATCATATTTTAGAAAATGTTTTAAAGAAATATAAAGACGTTGCTATAACATGTGCTTTTTATGTACTGGAAAATATCAATATTCTTATAATATATCTGAACCTCACCGTCACCCCTGCAGCTGAGGTGGATCTTCGGATGGTCACATATGAGGAGATGTTGGAGGACTGATTCAGCCTCAGCGAGGAACCCGCCACTCCTGAGGGGAAAGCCAACAAACATGTGGAAAGCTTAGCTAAAAGCTACAAAGTAAAAAAAAAGCTGCCCCTCAATAAATCTGTTCTCCTGATTCTATCATCCACGCACCTCTGCTAGGTAATGTCTGGTAACCCTCATGTCCTGATGCTGCTACACTGATGTGGCTTGAGCCGTCTCCAGCTCCCATAAGCTCTGGATCGCTCAGGAAAGGTCTTAGTTCCACCTGAAATTCAAAGACAGAGATTAAAAAACAAACCTTAGATAAATGTAGACATATCAGCGGCACAAACACACAGATACACATACTATATACCTTGCCGTCTCCATTAGTGAACTGGCCAATCTCTCTGTCCCTTTTGCGTTCATCTGACTGTCGTTTGAGGCCGCGTACAGAAGTATGCCGTATGACTGTTGTCTCCCGGGGCAACGGGGGCACAGCAGGGGGATGCTCATCAGGACTATAGAGCTGAGGTAGAGGAGGTCTTGGAGGCACATCATCCTCACCCTGCATACACAACAACTGTTCATTGTTAAATACTCAAAATCATCACAAACATCTATCTCACATTGGACATCAGTCCTTTCTTTAATCTTCAAAACTACCAATACATATCTAATGTTACATACCAATGTGAGGTAACAGTACTCATTCTGCTTGTTTCCTGTCTCTTTCTGTACTATCTGCTTTCCAATAAAGGCACAAATGGCCCAAAAACTATCAATAAAACTAGAGCCTTTAGATATTAATGATATCATTAGTTCATGAATTGATGGGTCAACCGAAATCCTTATTACTTAATCAATTAATTTTGCAAAATGTATTGTTTATTGGGCAAAAATGCTAAACATTTACTGACAGATTTTCCTATAAAACGGAATATCTTTGTGTATGTTGGGTAAATGGTCGTATAAACCAAATAAGTTGAAAATATACCCCTTAACAGACTACTTTTATGATGAAAATATTGATAGTTGCAAACCTTGAAGGTAACTAGTGCTGCAAAAAAGGGTAACTAGAAAAACTAACCCAAAAGAGAAAAAATAACTTCTCTGTAAAGCATCTTGTGATTGTGCTCACCACAATTTGTAAAACTATTTTAGAAGGTGAAAGAAAAATGTGACTAATTTAGTTAGCAAAGCTACACAAACTGTATTGTACACTCACCCATTTCAGCCCACTGGTGATGGTTGCGTCCACCCAGTGTTGCTGGCTGGGGCTGGAGGACAGGGTGGGGGTGGGGGTGCTGGGGCTGAGGCGGGGGCTGTGCTGTGGCTGCTGGGACAACCGCATCTCCATAGCAGACGGGCTCCCAGACACAGAAGGCACTGATGACGCTGACACTGAAGGCACAAACTTCCTCTCTGGGGAATTCAATGTATATGAACATGAATACACGCTGTACAGACAGTGCTTTCTTTTCCCATGGGTCATGTTCAAGGCATTAGTATCGAGTGTATGATCAAATGCTTTAATGGTGAGATGCAGTAGCACAACCACATGGCTTGTAATGCACATATCACACAGAACAAATGGCTTTGTACACATGGAAGCTCCAAGTGTCTCACCTGGGTTGGTAACAGAGGAGATAGTGACTTTGTAGTTGGCTTTACTGGTGCTGAGACCTGCGATAACATCCTCAATCCTCCACAGCTCTTTCCTGATCTGGACTTTCTCTTGCTGCTCACAGAGAAACACATACAAACATGTTATCTTTAACACACTGTAAAATCACTTGTGGACCCAGGCAAAGTGTAGTTTAAATTTCAAGCTCATCATATTACAACCTCTAGAATAATTTGTTTTGACTGTGTATATGAAATCAGGAGTAACTCATTCTCACACACACCCATCCATGAGAAGGAACGACAGAGATCAGTGAGCCACAGACCTGAAAGAGGTCGCTGCGGCTCATCTGTCCCTGCAGCGCCGACTGCAGCCAGTCCACGTCCCTCTCTAGCCGGCTGTACTCATTCCACGCGTTCTCCATCTCCTACAAAACAAAGAAGGAGATACTTCACGTTTTCTAAAGAGACAAGACACAGCTTCAGATACTCACCTCATCTCATGGGCCAATGATACATGAATGGTCTTCTTGTTAAAGCCTTGAGACAGTGACACTTTACACATACAGTAAGTAAGCACATGTGTAGTCAGATACAGTGGGAAGTAGTAGATAGTTAGTTTAGTATTATCATGATCTATCACTTGAAATCTTAAAAGAAAAATAATAATTCACTTGGATTTGAACTGTTGTTTCCATGTCATTATTATAATATACTGACTGTGTCCATTGAGTGTCCAAAATGTTTGAGCATAACCAATGTGGTCAGAAATGTCTTTGACACAAAAAGCCAAAAATGCAATTGTTTTTTTTTGTATGTGTAAACTTGCAGTGTATTTGTAACTGTTATTTTAAAACTGAATGTTTTCAAAATCAATGAATATTTTGACTAAAGTGTTACGCAGTGTGATGGAGAAATATACTTGTTAGTTTCGTTGTAGCGTCAGGTTTGTCCCGAGCACTCATTTTGATAGTCACAGTCAATATGAAACAGTGACAGTAGCAGAAACCGTCAAAAGGGAACAACTTAAAATAGAAGTGAACTTCTTGCTTCCACTGCAAGTGGTAGCATGTACAAGTAGAGACAGTCTGAACAGTTTATTTTTACAGCATTGTACCTGCAAAACCTAAATGGAAACTGCACATTTTAACTGAGAAATCAAAGAGGATGTATGCTCCATCCTATGTATAGTCAACGTGTGCGTTAGGCTTGAGTCTTACTGTGGAGACTTGAGATATTTCAGCCCTGATGTGAACAACATCCTCTTGTAGTAATTTCTGCTGATAGGCAATCTTCTCAGCGTGTGCCGGCTGATCTCTGTACTGCTCCATCTGCTGGTGGGAAACATCCAGCACAGACTCCAACTTGTCCTAGAAAGGGAAACGAGAGAGACAGCCATGAAACAAGAAGCATGTATAGACGACAAATGTACAGGCAGACACACACACACACACACAATTACTGTACATACTGTACATCAAGATAGTTCTATATTTGTATCAAACAAGAACCTTGTCATCCTTCAAAGTGCGTATCCTGGCCTCGAGCTCCTGGAGAATCTTGTCTTGTTCACACAGTCGACTTAATTTTACCTGAAGGAAAGACATGGAAACAATAAGAATTCAGGAAAACAGAGGGAAAACAAATCTATATGTATCTCTCCTTCCCATTACTGACACTGTTTACCTCAAAGAGCACCACAGAGTATAGCCATAATGCAACAGAAAAACAAGCGGGGACTGGGCTGATGAGATATGGAATCTGTTTACTACTCAGCTCGACTGTTCCATTCTAGTCTTCATGCTACTATATTCAAACAACACAAACAAATTGATCGTCTGCCGCCGTCTTCGCTGTCTGTAAATATGTCAATAAGACTCATCTATGTGGAAAGCCCAGAGGAATGCCTCTCATCAGCGCAGTGAGAAATATCAAAAGGGTCTATACTGTCTAGTTTGGGGGTGAGATCTGGTAATACCCATTATAAGTAATCATAATCAAAAATCCATATTTTCACATTCACTTTTGGAGAAAACCGTGTTTATTGAGAGTGACAGATTTGTTTTCCCAGAAATGGGTTATGTGTTTATGAAAACAACATAAGACTGCCTAGTTCACAGTCTTTCTCACACAGTGAATTTTTTTTCTCAGATCTATTTATCATTCTGTACAATTAATAATTAAGCTGTTTTTATTTTGCTGCCGTATATTGTTGTTTTTAATTGCATGAAATATTCATTGTTCAGACAATTTACTGGCAATTTCTTATAAATTGTTAAAGTGGAACAATGCTAATGATGAAAAGCCAGGACATCCATCTTATTTACCTCTATTCAGCAGAAAACAAAGAACGACAAAAGCAGGGTCAGGCAAATCAAACTGAAAAATGTAACAGCTCAACATCTTAAATTCCCATTACATGTATTTTTCTCTTTAAATTGCAAGGAGGAAAATAAAAGCTGTGGTCGATACTCTCAGGCCCTGACTGTGCAGAGTGGATGGGTGTCCCCACAGTGTTGCAATGTACACACGTTCCCTTCCCTTCGCAGCCTCTGTTTACCACAACTTAAGAACACATACACACAAAACCACACTGAAACACACAGTTAAGACAGACTAAAGGCAGCCGCTGCTCTGTAGTGGATTGTAAGAAGTCAGAAATGTAGATCTTTAAAAAAATAAGAAGACGAATAAACAAGGCGATTATCACACTGTGTCTTTAAATCCTGAGAACAAAATGATTCACTTACATCAGCATCACTTTCTGCTATTTTCACAGGCCTTGATGGTCTTTCTGTTTTAAAACTCTCACGTCCAGTAACCTGAAATTCCCAATAGCCAGAAATAAAATAGAATATTTAATATCAATAATCAAATAACATAGTTTGAGTATCTCTACTTAAGTACTTCCAACAGCTGTGTGGATTTTCCACATACAGCAAGAATGCGACACAAATCAAGCTGGATGGATCTAGAAAAAATGACGGAAAAAAATATAGATCAAACAACGCAAAATTAAAACATGAGCTGAAGTGCAAGAACATTGATGCAGTTTGAGTTCTGCATCTTTGTGGTCGGAACATTCTTAAAACCCCCAAAGCTGCTCTTTCCTGGCTGCTTATGGCTTTAAGTAAGTCCAAGAACCAAGTCCTTCATAGGAACCATGTGGGAGATATATTTACTTGTGTTCATTTTATTTATAATTTAAAAAGGCGTCAAAGTTAAACTGTAGGGCCTCTAGTTTCATGGCAGTGGAGTTAGCTGTACTCTATATGCTGGCAGAGAGCAGAGACAGTCAGCCATATGAGACTGAAATCACAGATCTAAATCACCATTTAACGTATATATTTTTAAGATCTGTAAAATGTAAGTTAACGAATTAGATACATCTGCTTTTAAGCAAATAAACTGGCAGCACCTTTAAAAGAAACACCATCCTCTGACAAAAGTCTGTGGCCATGTTAGCATCTTTATGAAACTGTATTTTATTACTAACTTGATAATTTTATGGGAAACACTGTTTAAGATATGAATTGTTTTTATTGTTTTGTGATCATTTAATTACTGTATGTGGGCTATTTAACCAGGGCACCATCAAACATGAGGTATTGGTTTTAATGGGTATTCTCTTGCTAAGTTAAGGGGAAATTCTTTTTTTCTTTTATTCCTATTGTATACCCATCTTGACTCAAAACATATCTGGTCAGGTTTATTTTTTCTACAATCATTTTACCATACTTTCTTTTGTTTTTCCTTCTTTTATGTAATTCATAATGTGATAAAATACTTTTACAGGAACTTATATATTTCTATAATCCTTTATATTGTAGGGACTGACATTCCTCTTTTGTTATCATTATAATAATATGATATATGAATAATATCTCAGGGTTCTACAGATATCGTCTTCTAGTTATCTGCAACAGTAAGTAATGCATGAAGCTGAGAAGTGTGGGTGGAATATTCATAACACACCCACATCAGGATCAGCACCACACCCAGCACAGCGGTATGGACCAGTGTGAATGGGACTCAGTAAAAGGGGCATTCCACCTATTTTGCATGTCAAAGTCAGTTACTCGTCATGCAGAGTACTAAACAGGCTGTGAGAACAGTTTTATAATGAATTCTGTGGTTCTGTAGGGAGCTTTATCAAGTCTGGGAAGATTATTTAAGTGATGACAGGATATTTTAGTTGGGGCTTCGAGACTACACCTTTTTAAAAGAAAGACTGAATTACATTCTCATTCTCATACATTCTGTCTTAAAGATGAGAGTCTTAACGATGTAGGGATGGTCAAACAAAAACACTAAGTCTGAAAGTCAGCTATAAGTCTATTTGACTATTTTTCTGTAAGCTGTCTCTCTCAAGATCGCTAACTTTCTAGTATTTAAGTGCAATACCAATTTTCTTTAGTATTCTTTTAAATCCACGTTGAACACATCGCTGCATGTCCATTTATGCCGGCTACCACAATCAAACTAGAGGCCTTAAAATGTAACTTCGCCCGTATAATTCTTAAAGAGCACCATTGGTTCATCTTTAACAAGCAAAACCATAGAAAAACTGAAGATATCAAATACATTCAAAAATGCTTAACAGCATGCAAGGAAGCTCTTTGCCAATATAACTTCCTTCCCATCATCTCATAGCAGTGTTGGAGTATCATGCAGTGAACAATAGGAGTAAGGTATTCATGTGCTAAATCCTTCATAATTTCCAGGGATGCATCACATTCGTTTTGCAAAGCAGTGAAATGGTGTTTTTCACTTTGTATGCACACCGTCCTTACATTCCAACAGTACCCAAAACTGTGTGGAGTCGAGTTTTCAAACACATTGTGTACTGAAACGATCATCGGGTCAATACTTTGGATCTGTTTTGAAACAGTAAATGGAGAGGAGTTATACGACGTACTGTACATCGATAGATGACACCCCTCCATTCCAAAAACACAAACCAGATTTCTAATTGATGCATTGTGGTGTTTAAACATACAAATTAATTAGGAGTATATGCCTTGTCAATGGAAAATATGCCAATAGCTGGCTAAATGAGATAGATAGCTTAAATATGACAGTAATAAGTCTGTGAATTAAGAGAATTTGTAACAATCACACAGGAATTGGAGTTCACATGACTAGTAATTCAGCCATGTGCTTGTCAAAACTTAAATTCCCTTCACAAATAGGGTGACATAACAGCATCACCCCACTGTTCCTGAAAATACTGTACGATTACTATTATCCAATAGAGAGCATCTTGACAAACTGAACATCATGATTTATACTGGAGGAAGCAAAAAAGATCTATCACCTCACGACAGTCACATTAGACTGTTGGATTCACCAGATGATTAAAGGAAAAAATGACTTTTCATGCTCAAATGGTCAATTACATAAGAAGACATTAAAATAGACATGTTCATTTCAATTGCAAAGAGACAGTAGAAAGCAGAGCGCAGAACAGAGGAAAGACAGGGAGAGGGGAAACAGGGAGGCAGATGTTGGAGGCAGCAGCAGGAGAACAGGAGTGCAGTCCAGACAAAGGAGATGGAGAAAAGGATGAAAAGGATAAAGTGGCATTTACTTTGTTGGGGCCCACCTTCAGATCTAGATACTCCAGGTCCTTCTTCAGTTGAATGTAAGTATCATCAGCCTTTGAATGAGCAGTGGAGAGATAAATCATTTGAAATGAAGCTGCAGAGGGGAATGGGTGACCAGGCGACTCTATGGTTTTTATTTGCTGTTTAGGATTTGCCAGCAGAACTTTAACTCAATTACAGTTCACTTTGCTACCTCTGTATTTGTATCCATAGTTAGTAAAGCCCAACTGTAATTAATTAATGATGTCAATTTTAAACTGGTTTAATGCCTCATGTTTAACTTCACACACAACTGAGCAACACAGGTTTTTGTGCATGACATGTGGTCAAACTGAGTGTATACATGTCTTCATAAGCATGGAAGATGGCCAGAGTTGGATGTTAGAAACTGGGTGGAGTTGTCATTCCTGAGCACCGTTGCAGCTTCACTGTGGTTTGCTAGTCTCGCAGCAATGCACTGTTGGTACACAGGCTCTTACAGTGGGGGGGGGCTGTGGCCTGATGGCTGCTTCAGAATGAGAACAGCAAGAGCAGAAGATTTATCAGAGCACACAGAAATGTAGATATGAATGCTTTTGTGGCTGTGCAAGGTTATACATGTACCAAACAAAGGTATGTATTTAATGCAGGCATAGTTGACAAACAACATGCTTTGAATATGGCATATTACTTTTGACGTTAGTATAACACAAGCCTCTGAAAGCTTTTCGTGTTTTGAATAAAGTGGAAGAGTGACATCAACTATAAAGACACTCATCTGGACGGTCTGAAGTGAAACAGCCCATGCCAAAATGTTTGCATTAACAAGACAACTAAGCAACACCAACAGGCCACACAGTCTTATGAATGATAGGGAAGTAATGTATGGGAGTGGCTGGGGAGAGTGGGACCACAATGCACTGGCAGGGAGTTGCAGTGTGCTGTAAGAAGTTAGGGAAGTACAGTGGCCCCTGACCTGCATGCTGGGGCCTAGAAGGCCGTTGTGGTGGTGCTGCAGGTGAGCGAATGCATCGCTGGGGCTATGCACACTAGCCATCTTGGCCTGGTGCCTCCGAAGCTGAATGAGGAGCAGAGTCAGCTCCTCTGGCTGTAGCCAAGCCCGGGTTTAGGGGCCCGGAGGCCAGTGAAAGCGCAGAGGGATAAGAGAAAATACTTGATAACAATCTGGGCAGTACAGTGGCTGAGCTAGAGTAGCTGAGAGTGGGAGGATGATTTATTGTGCCATCAGGAGTTCTCTGAAGATGAGGGTCATCAGAACAGATAACGCTAAAACAAATATCGTACGGCATAGCATTCAAACCAGCTTTATAGGGGTTTAACAAATCAGTCAGCCCCCGATTCTACAACTTGATACTGTCACCAAGATGAGCCCTACAATTCCTGTTCAAACCTGGATAAGCTATCTTAGACTACCACACTGTGAAACTATATTAATCCTACATGAAATACATCTTGAATAAAGAAAATAAAGTTATGTAATACATCTTATAAAGAGGATCATACCGTTTTGCCATGTAAGCTGGGTGCACTGACAGTGTGCGTGATGTAGCCCATGCCTGGCATGGACCTTCTCTCTATTCGGGAAGTCTGCAGAGAAACAAAATACATCAACTTGTTATTATAGAACTCCTAAAATCAAACAGAATGGCTAATTGACTAAGTAATCTTCAAATACGTGTGAAGGGAAGGATATAACACTTTATCACACTGAATCAAAGTTAAACCATTGCCTCCAAGTCGGCAAACAAAATTGACTACACAGCAGATTTATTTTTTCATCTATCCCTTTCTCCCTTTCATCACTCCTACTCTTATTCCAAACAAGGTGTGCCCTGAGTTTAAGACGCTACAGGGCTTGGAAGATTTGACGTTTTTGCTTCACACACAGAATTAGCAAAAACCAGGCCCACCAAAGAACCTTAAAAGGACACAAACAACAAGAGATTTAATTAACTACACATAAATTATACCAAACCTGCTTTCTTAAAATAACATTTGTTTGCTACCAGCAAGAGAAGCACTGTAAGCCATTCCCTTTGAGATTCCCATGCCACTATTTTTTTGCTGTATAATAGGTTTTTTATTTAAATGCGAGATCAGAAGAAAGAGACCGCTGCTGATGTTTGAGATACAGTAGAGATGTTTATAGGGTGCTGAGGAGCCCTGGGCAAATTGGATTAGCCGCTAATAAAACATACTTCTTAATGATATCCCACAGAGGTATACAGATAGATTACTATTACTTAAGAGCAGAGAGAAAGCTTGAAAGATGCTGGATGCAGAAAAACTAAGTTCAGTGCAGACTACATTTAGTTCCCATAAACATTGCTCCCTTTAGTGGCCATGCATAGTCACTGTGGCTCCCTTTGTTAAAAAAGTATCTTCTTCTGAAGGGTTTTTCATAATTGTGCGTCACTGTATTTTATGGTTATAATTAGTGCGCTGACATTCATATGAATGATGGCGGAAACCGAGCATCTGTGACACTTTGTTTACTCGTGTAAGGCCAACGGGTTGGTTGTGAGGCTTGTGTGCGTTGGCAAATGTGGTGATGGTTTGGAGGGAGATCTTTTCACACGTGGAGGGTGTGGTGGGAAGACAGCGCAGGGTGTGGATGACAGGACGGCCCCTCGCTCTGTCTCCTGCGGCGGTAGTGGTGCTGTCTGAGCCCTACGCCGGATTGGTGAAGAGCTTTTACTCACACATGCTCACACCACCTGTGGAGGGCGTCTGGGTGTGGACTGTGTGAATCTGAAAATGATTCACATGAGCATCAAAGTGTGTGCAGAGCCTTCTCATGCTCCTAGTGTTAATCTTCCCATAGTGTTCTTATGAGCTCACAACACCCTTCAAGTTCACATCAATAGCTACCTCACATCCACTATCCAGAGCTACCGTGAGAATGAGACCTTTGTCATTTGGCTCCCTGCATGTGAATCATCACATTTAGCTTCTGTCCCATGCCAATGACAGGCTACTGACGTTTACTATGTGCCAGTTTTACAGTGTTAAAGCACCAATTACTGAGTATCAGCACATACATTTATCAAAGACAGGACTTCTATCCACCCATTATCTATCTATACCCATGGATAGACTATTGGGTTGGGACTCCAGTAAAATAATATTTTGTTATTGTCAACTGAAACATATGGTGTTGTTAGGGAAATAATTGTCCTAGACTCCTAGATATGACGTACAGGACCAACCCTGACGTCTGTTTACCTCCTTTAAGGACACAGGCTGTTTCAGCCAATAATGTTATTGTTCCCATTCTGTGACCGGTCAATACTGGGTCACAGATGGTCTGTATTGTGGGTACACTGGGACACTTCCTTCTCTGTTGTCTGAGGACTCCAGGGCATGACATATCCAAGGCCATAAGTGGCGGAAGCTGGTAACTTAGTGTGCCCAAACTATCTAAAGCTATCTTATCAAAACATGTTGATGACTCTCTGTGGAACCAGTTAAATGGGCTGGCAAGAGAGAGGCTCTCCAGAATTGACGTGGCAACCCACCCGTGCAGTCTCACCGGGACTGCTGTGGACTTTTGATGTGAATCCTCCGGCCGTAACTCCAAATAAACCATCAGTGTTTGACATCAAAGCTACTGCTCCTACCGTGTCTCCTTCCTGAGTCGGTGACTCCCACAGCATAGCTACACAGAAGTTTCCTCTACAGGTGTGACACCATATTGGAAAACAAACCCACCGGTGTCCTTTGGTAATCACCATGCTTCTTTGCTAGTTTGAGGGAATCACTGACTCACTGATGTTGTGTGTTGTTGCTAGTGCTGCAACTAAGAAATTATTAATTATAGTTGTTTTGGTTTGACCGACAGTCCAAAAGATCCAAGATACTCTGATGATAGATATAAAATAAAAAAATCAGAAAATCCTACGTTTACAGAATCCTTTAACAGATAATGATTGATGTTTTGCTTGAAAACTGACTCAAGCAATTAATTTATTATCAAAATAGTAATGATAATAATCAATATCATTATTACAAATGTTGCCAAGGATACTAAAATAGTCAGAGATGCCTCTCCTCCCTAGGCAGGTGTCCTACCTGAGAAAGACAGATATGGCCGGGGGAGCTGGATCCTGTGCTGTCCCCGGGGGCCACTTCGTCCAGGGGCCTGACTGTACGTCTGTCTGAAGGAGTGTGTGGCCTGCGAGGGGACAGGGGTTTGAAGGAGGGGATTGACGGTGGGACTTCACAAGGGGATGGTGGGACAGAGAGGGAACGTGGCATCTCCACCGTAACTCTGAAAGATGAAGAGTCTGTAAAGTTGGGGCCGGTGTAGATAGGGGCCGTGGGGCTGCCATGACGGAACTGCTGCCGCTGCTGCCACTCGTACAGCTGCCACACCATCCCCTCCTTAGTGGCCGTGCGCTCATCGGTGGACATGCGGAAGTGGCTAAGCCGGTCATGGGCGTACTTATAGTCGCTGGGCAGGTTGCATGTTGCTGGAGGAGAGTTGCTGCCTGACGGGAGACGGGGAGACTTTGGCAACGACTGATGGGAGGCATCCACTGTGCTGGCTTTGGGCTTTAATGGAGGAGTCCGCCGAGGGAGTTGGTATTCAGCAGAGGGAGCACTGAAACAGAAAACACATGTATGTTTTTTTATTTTATCTCTCTCAATATAATGTAACCTATCCACAATGACAATGATTTTTCTAAATAAAATAGACAAATGTAAATACACAAGTGTTCTTATTAGCCACTAGATGGAGGTATTAACTCTTTTTTTAAATCAATTTTTTTTAAGAACTACATTAACTAACCTCTTTGTTGGGTCCCCTTTGTGAACTTTAACCCACTGCTGCACCTGAGCCAGCGTATTCTTTCTCTGCACATGTTTCCCAGGGTCTCCGCGTGACACAAATCCCCTCTGATAGACAATATTTCCATTCTGTTCTGGTGGCAGAGTCACTTCGATTACAGTTTGCTGTCCGTTCTTGTGGGCGGCACCATCGTCAGAGTCTGGAGAGAGTCTCTCTGCTCTTTCCTCTGCGACCAACTGGCTGGGCCTGCCTTGAATCTGTAATCCATACCTCACCTCGTCTCCATGAGCCAGGTGGATCCCAATGTCCGGTTCTGTCCTGCGACGGCACTCTGACTGAGATGATTTCTGGTTGATGTGAACGTGGTTGGTCTGTGGGACAGCCTGCTGCACAGCCTTCTTTGGATTCTCCAACTCTCTGAAAAATCAAGAAATTAGGATTAAACAAGTAAGTCCTGCCTGTTCAGAATTGTAATTAATGGCTTTACTCAACATTTAATTCCCCCTTTTCACTTTATAGTATGATGGAATGTAGCACTGTTCTTGAAAAGAGGGATAACATGGCATTATACAATGGATACAAATCACAATAAACACTCAAATTAAGGTAATTTTCCAATCAATTCACAGAGACACTTAAACAATAAGTAAGATTAATAACTATGTTTGTCTCTGAGAGATCTCAGAGACCACGGGAGCTATTCAATTACTTTCTATCTGTACTTTTTATCATATTTGTATGACAATGCATGCAGAGGGAATTCGCACTAAACATAAATGTCCCTTTGACGTTAGCTTAAGGAAATGTGCTATTCTTTCAAAAAGTTCTTAAGAGGTGAAATATTAAGGTAAGAATAGCAATAAGGTGACTAATGGGGACCATATAGTAGATACAGGAAATGTACTGTTAGAACTTATTATGACTTCATAAGTGCAAAGCATACCATAGTAATAATGTTTAATTCCAAGGGATCAAGGGGTGTCTTATCAAATGCTGTGTTTTTCAAATACAAATGTCAGGAGTGTTGAGCCACATCAGCCACTAGGAGGCGACATTGCAAAGACTATTTAAATCATGTAGTGCACCCAGCCTATCTAAGAAATCTTAATGCAGCTTTAAATACAAAAGGGCTCAGTTTCAGCAGCCACAAAGTCTCAGGCTGCATTGCAGACTATATATGCCATCGCTTGTGAATATTGTCAACAAACATGTGAATAAATGTGGTTAGTAAATTGTAGCTGGCAATTGGCTGGAATAATCTGTAACAGACTCATATGCAGAACTCACACACACACACAACACACACACACACACACACACACACACACACACACACACACACACACACACACACAGACACACACACACCCCAGAGCAGATGGACGGGAATGGCCCTGCTGTAGAAGACAGCTCAAGCTGTTAAAATAAAGCCCATGTTCGTTGGAAAAAGTTCATTTTTGAAGCCTAAGTTATAGCAACACATGCTCTAGCAAAACGGATGATTGCTGTTTGGTTGAATACTGTGACACCCAGGGAGCCTTTATGATTTAATCTTAAAACATATCCAGTTCTCAGAGACCGCTGCACTTTAGGGAGGGCGAAATGTTGGTGCTAGTCGAAGCCCAGCCAACGGGAGAAACTAATCGTACTCTGGTGAGAGAGACCAACCTCTTTACAGTGTGACTCTGCTGCATCAGCGCAGCCTGGTTCATGGCCCGTATCCAGCCATTCATGTCCTCCTGTGTGTCCGCACTGAAGAAATATGTCCGCATCCCGCAGTGTTCTGCCTGTGAGCCAATCACAGAGTTCTTATTGTAAATGTAGGAGCGCATTCCTGTATGGCTCGCCTATCAAAGGAAGAGAGGTGGAGAAAGAGAGGATAGATATGAGAACTTCTTACTGAAGATGGGAAAAAGCTGCCAGAAAGGCTGATAAGTGAAAACACTCTTCTTTCTTGCTTGCTGAAATTGACAGTGGGGACAAAGTTTACAGCAACATTTGGGTAAATATAATAATAATAATAGAGAGGGAGCAAAATGCTGCAGCAGAAACGGCATTAAGATTGTGCTGTTCCTGGCTAGAAAAAAAGAGCATAACACAGGTTTTATTTTCCAAAAGCTTTAGGAAAAGACTCAGCAGCTGCAGCAAACAAAGTAAATGATGGCCACCTGTTATTGGTCAATATATACATAACCACCTATCACAAACATTACCTTACCTTTTATTAGTTCTATGCAGTGTTGTAAATCTTTCCAAGCTTTTTGGTACAGTTAGGCACCAAATCAACACAATTATGATGCAGACAACCAGCAGTGAAGGAGCATTCAGCAGCATATTCGTTTTTTCCCACACCGAATGCACATTTCTTCTTACTTCATAGTAGTACACATAGCTTCTCATTTAAATCTGCAAAAACATGGTACGTATCTATATAAGTAAAAGAGTGCTAAAGATTAAGTCGTTTTGCTTAATAATACTGCAGAGCTCCACACAATGTTTTTGTGTAAGCTATTTCACATGAATTGATAACTAATAACGACATTCATGAATGGTTGTCAACAATGCAACAAAAGCATTTACAGCACAAGAATGAAATGAATTATATACAGAAAAAATTGTCAAAAGAGTATAATATTCATTATTCACAAAGTCAAATACCAAAACATGCTCAATAGAAAGAGGCAGAGTCTGCAAGAGGTTATCTACAGTGAAAGAAAAAGGGTCCAGTTATTATGAAAATACAATCCTGATTTTCCTCACAGAAATACCTCCATTTACCCTTAATAAAAGGGTTAGGGTAAATATGTAATACACTTCTATACCAAGTGCTATAATAGACTTAATTTAAAGAGAGCCCTGCCCGTTTATTAGTCTGTTAATAAAATGTCCACAGCACCTCACACCGGGCTTCACATCTAAACATGTCAATGTGATTTTTAAACTTATAAGTGAATAAACTGTATGAAGTATTTGAGCTGTTTAAAATACCCTTACCCACCAATGATCACCAGAATGTATTAGTTTGGAAGACTTGAAATTGGGAATTAAATCATTATAACAATCTTTAGGCAATATGTGAATGCAAATCACACCTAAGAATCTGACAATGAGCCTGCTTCAAAACAAAAAACACATACAGTATATTGTATTGTTAAACATAAATACAAATGATTTACAGCAAGGGGGGTTGCTGATGTCAACAAACATCCAAAGTAATGCAATGAAATCAGAGAGGATTGAAAGAAAAACGGCTGAGACAACCACCACTCCAATGACAATGACAATGTGATAAATGATAGGCAGCTTCACAAGACAAATACCAAAGCCACCGGGTACATGAGACTGATCAAATAAATCGACTTGGCAATGTGAGTGTCTTGTTCAACAACCACATTTCTGAAAACGGTTTCTGGCTAACTGAGGATAAAGTGCTCTCTGTGTCTCTTTTCTCAAAGGACATTTTGCGTGTGCAGTTTACTGTAGGTACTGCAGTCTTGTAGTAGTCCCCTTCATTTTTAAATTCATTACCAAATATATTCCTGTCAAAATACTTAAACTAATGAACCCAATGTGCTCTGGTGTTGCCCATAGATAACTGTAGTCATGTCTGTACATGATGAAACTTTGATGTACATTTAGACATGTGCATCCATCAGCTACTAGCATAGTATGAAACAAAATGAGGTGAGGGTGGCAGTAAAACTGATGAGGCTGAAGTGAAATCAAATACCTAGTCATGCAAGACAGGAAGCCAGTGTGATTGAGGACGACTGCCTGCAGATAACAGTACTCACTCCGCCCGCGCACACACACCGGGTCACAATGGGAGGCAATTGACCAACAGGGAATGAGAGAAACACAGTAAGATGTGAAAAATAACAGGAAGTTGCTGACTCAATAAGAAAGAACATAAATGGCTCCAGCTGTGGTCTTATGGCAGTCGTCACAGAAGCAAGAATGAGTTTCAGCATCAAAAGAGTGGAGACTACACTCTGACACATCATCATGGCGTCAGTGCTTTAAGTAAACTTGAGTATAAATACTTTACACTATATTGTCGAGTCTCAGTTTACATGTGATATTATTCAGGCCAGCACACACTGTCTGTCAGCAGCTCTAACAGTTAAAAATCCTGTTGTTGAACAACACCAGACAACAACGGAGATGCTGTCATGCTTACTTAGCAGTAACAGAGAATTTCCAAAGCCCCTTGGATACCTGTAATGAAATCTCCTACTCTTTAATGCATGATGGCTCAGAGAGAGCTGGGAGAACAGGGATCTCTTAAATACAGGGTGATGCAGCAGAGCCCAGGCTCATTTAACCTAACCTTACATATACTCCCCAGCAAGTGGTGGGAAGAGACGATGAATATGCTGAATGCATAATTAATATATCCAGCAGCAGCATAATTATCATACAAATTCCATTGTATCTTATATGATATTTAAAACACAGGAGACATGTACTGCACATTCACGCTTACACAGACATGTCTCACACTCAGATACACATACAGTACACACAGGATCCCAGAACAAAAGCCAAAGTACAAAGGAGCTGATAGGATTGCAACAGGATGCCCTGAAGCTGCAGTGGTGCATCAAACATCAGGCACTATTGTTCTTTGCAACAAGCTCTGTGTTTCCACAAAGGAGGAGCTGGATACTGTTAACACCCTTGCCATAACCAAAATACATAAATCCTTTTCAGTCCACTGGCAAAATCCGCAGACAGAAAACAGAAAATGACTTTGCCGCATTTAAGGAAAAGTGCTGTCACACATTTAAAAATACAAATGCCATTATTATAAAAAGTGGGCTGGGTCTATTGGGTAAAGTATTATAGGCAAGTTATTATGTGCCATTCAGATTTAAAAAATAAGCTTTCGCACTGTGCACACCATATTGAAACTGCATTGATGCAGCCTTTACACTGGTAGGGCTACCGAAGGCCAGTGTACTTCTGCCCCTTATCACAAAAGGTTAATAAAATCAGAATTCACAAGTGAGCAGAATACATAAAGGCATGTACTGCAGCCATCTATAGTAACACTATAGGGAAGTTCATGAGATCTTTCTAGAGGGTTATCAAGAATAACTTTTATCCAATGACCTTTTCCCTCTCTGTCTGTGTCTGTGTATTCTCTTGTTCCGATTAACCCAGCCAAATATTTTTTCTTGTTTTGTATCTATATCTACGCCGGGATCCGGAGTCGAGGCTGATCCTCTTGCTGTAGTCCTGTGTCCTGGATCCTCTATCCTGAGTTCTGGATTAAGTCGTGGACTTCGGGCCGTGGCTGAACCTGTCTCTGCGGTCCTGCCTTGGGTCTCGTCATGCTGCTTCCCTGATGGCTTCCACAGGATTGTAGCTGACATCCTCGTGGATTCATCTTCTTATTACAGACACATGCATTTCCTAACATTCGGTCTATATGCTGTAAAATGTATTATCTCTTCGATTTACACACGGCATCTATTGCACGTCTGTCCGTCCTGGGAGAGGGATCCCTCTCCCAGGAGGTTTCCCCATTTTTTCCCCTTAAACTGTGGGTTTTCTCTGGAAGTTTTCCCTTGTACGATGTGAGGGTCTAAGGATAGAGGGTGTCGTATTGTCATACTGATATTCTGTACAATCTGTGCTGTTGTATTTGCTGTAAAGTGTCTCTACTGTAGGCTATTTTTATTTTATGTACAGCACTTTGGCTCGACCAAAAATCGTTTATAAATGTGCTATATAAATAAAACTTGATTTGATTGATTTGATTTGAACACCCACCCTTGGGTTTGAAAATAAAATCAGCCACCATGAGGTCAGAAGTTCAGCAACACTCCACACAACTGGACTAGATATACTAAGTCACATGCTGAGTTGAATACAAAATCTTTCTTGCCCAAAAGTTTTTCTGTGATCAAATGCAAAACACCCCCGTTTCAGTGCAGGAAATAAACCATTATTTTTTTTCTTATTTTGCTTAGATACATTTTGTTTCATACTAAACCTTTTCTGGATATGTAACAAAATAAGAAGACTTCGCAAACACATCAGAGTTTCATGGCTGCTTACTGTTATACAAGCAGCCATAGAAACACAAGTACTGAAGTTCTCACTAAAAAATCTATTAGGAAGCTGCAGCTGATTCAGAACGCTGCTGCTCGAGTCCTCACTAACACTAAGAAAGTGGATCACATCACTCCTGTTCTGAAGTCTTTACACTGGCTTCCTGTGTGTCAAAGAATAGATTTCAAAATACTGCTGCTGGTTTATAAAGCACTGAATGGTTTAGGCCCAAAATACATTTCTGACCTCCTGCTAAATTATGAACCATCCAGATCTCTCAGGTCTTCAGGGACTGGTCAGCTTTCTGTCCCCAGAGTCAGAACTAAACATGGAGAAGCAGCGTTCAGTTATTATGCTCCAAATATCTGGAACAAACTCCCAGAAACCTGCAGGTCCGCTGCAACTCTGACTACTTTTAAATCCAGGCTGAAGACTTTTCTTTTTGTCGCTGCTTTTAATTGAACTATTCATATCTTAGACTGCACTGTAACTTTTATCCATGTATTTTTTCTTTTAATGTTTATTTTATTAGCTTTTCTTTTTAATGACTGATTTTAGATGCCATTTTCTTAATGTCTTTCATTTTTTGTAAAGCACTTTGAATTGCCTTGTGTTGAAAAGTGCTATATAAATAAACTTGCCTTGCCTTGCCTTGAAGTTCTATAACTAGCCCTGATAGTAAATCATAAACTGTCAAAAAAACAATGGAAAAAATTGATATTTGCAGCTGGGAGTACCCACTCTTCCTTCCTGCGAGACCACAGTAGAGAAAACCAGTATTATGTGAGGGATGCTACCAAATAGAAATGTAGCAATGAAATCTGCAGGAGTAAACACATTTTGCTCCACCCATTGACATAACCTCGGATTCAATGGCACTTCAGTGTTACCTTGAACGCGTATTTTCGGTTTATGTGATCATCAGCTTCAACTGGTGCAATGACATAACTGGGCAGAGGGATGCTACCGAGCACAGTCTCCTCTCGGCTGTCTGTGAAGAAAGAACACACACAGAGTATTGGAAAATCCCAAACAACAATCTCTAATTCTGCCAAGATCTTTTACGATGTTTACAAGTGACTGCAGATTTATGAACAGCAGGAAAATTAGCAAGGCATATATCATGGGTGACTCCTGTCTGGTCCAGGCCATGTGGCTGCATGAAGCACGAGGTGGCATGTGGCTCATCTATTATTCAGTATGATTAATTGTAGAGAGGAGGTAAATGCTCTGGCAACACAATCACAAATTACATCCCATAATAAAACACTCAAGTTAATAAGGAAGGAGAAGTGGAAGGAAGAGAAAGTCGAGGAGAATAAGAAGTAGCATGATATGTCATACATGTAGTCATAAAATGTTTTAATCACGATACTAATCTTGTTACGATTATTGTGTTATGTCACGTTTTCTATGTCTTGGTTTGGGTGTTTTGCTGTTCTCCCTGTCATATTTCCTCTGGGTATATTGTCTGGTCCTTTTCCCTGTGTTTTTCCTCCCGTCGTTAGTTTCCCTGGTGTGTCTAGTTGTCTGATTGTTTTCACCTGTGGCCCTTGTGTTTCTCCTCCCCTGCCTGGCTGTTTCTCGTCTTGTGATTACCCCTCCCTGTATTTAGTCTTGTCTCTTCCTGTGTTCAGTGTCGGTTCGTCTTGTGTCATGACTAGTTCGTCGGTGAGTGTTCTGTTTTGTCTTTGTTTATCACCTAGCCTTGAAATAATGGAATTTTCACTTTAATCTGCATTTGGGTCCTGCCTGCTTCACACACCGTAACATTACGAACCGACCAACAAATGGACCCAGCAGATGATCCATGGGAGGTAGAATTACAGCATTTTACCTTCTATCTGGCTTGCTGCTTCGATTGGTGGAAGGGAGCGTCCAGTGTTCGGCGGAAGCGGGCCGCTCTGGTAGAGGCGCACCGGATGGCAGCAGAGAAACTATGTTTTGTGGAGTTCTTACCTGACTGGATTTTGGACTTACTTGAAACATGTGATTCCTGGCCTGCTAGCCCCGGGCATGCTAACTCCATGTCTCCCAATACCCAACCTGGCACCATACGCCTTGGTGGGTTCCGCCTGAAGTCAACCCGTGCTTCTGCCCCAGTTCCTGCTCTTGTCCAGGAGTTGTATTCCGGAACTCGGCTGGCTTATGGAGGTCCACGGAGTATTCAGGCGGCTGCTAAGAGGAGTCGTCGCAAGGCCAGGCTAGCAGCCCGAGCAGCCACAATTCCAGCTCCAGAGCCGGCCCATTCAGCCATGTTTCCGGCTCCAGAACCGGACCTTACAGCCATGTTTCCGGCTCCAGAACCGGACCTTACAGCCATGTTTCCGGCTCCAGAACCGGACCATACAGCCATGATTCTGGCTTCAATTCAGGCCCCCACAGCCATGGTTCCAGACCCAGCTCTGGCCCCAGCTGCCACAGTCCCATCTCCAGTTTCCTCTCGAGTCCCCTCTCCAGTTCCCTCTCGAGTTCCCTCCTTTAGTCCCTCCTCTAGTCCCTCCTCTAGTCCCTGCTCTAGTCCCTCCTCTAGTCCCTCCTCGAGTCCCCTCGCGAGTCCCCTCTCGAGTCCCCTCTCGAGTTCCCTTCTCTAGTCCCTCCTCTAGGCTCTCCTCTAGTCCCCTCTCCAGTGCCCTCTCTAGTTCCCCTCTCGAGTCCCCTCTCGAGTCCCTTCTCGAGTCACGTCTCAAGTCCCTACCCAATGTCCTGTCCCGTTGGAGGCCCCGTCGACTACTCCTCTGCCGGGGGTCCTACCAATCGTATGTCTGTCCCGTTGGAGGTCCCGCCGTCTACTCTCCTACCGGGGGTCCTGCCAGCTCCTTGTCCTGTCCCGTTGGGGGTCCCGCCGACTACTCTCCTGCCGGGGGTCCTGCCAACCCTTTGTCCTGTCCCGTTGGAGGTCCCGCCGTCTACTCCCCTGCCGGGGGTCCTGCCAGCTCCTTGTCCTGTCTCGTTGGAGGCCCCGCCGACTACTCTCCTGCCGGGGGTCCTGCCAACCCTTTGTCCTGTCCCGTTGGAGGTCCCGCCGTCTACTCTCCTGCCGGGGGTACTGCCAGCGCCTTGTCCTGTCCCGTTGGGAGTCCCGCCGACTACTCTCCTGCCGGGGGTCCTGCCAACCCTACGTCCTGTGCCGATGGAGGTTCCGCTGGGGGTCCTGCCGGCTACATGTCCAGTCCCGTTGGAGGTGTCGCCGACTACTCTCCTGCCGGGGGTCCTGCCAACCCTATGTCCTGTCCCGTTGGAGGTCCCGCCGACTGCCCTCCTGCCGGGGGTCCTGCCAATCCCGTGTCCTGGTCCTCTTCCGTGGGGGATCCTGCCGAGGTCTGTCCCACCAGCTCCGGTTCCTGTCCGGCCGACACCGGGTCCTGCCCGGCCTCCGGCGCTGTCCCGTCAGCGCCTTCCTGCCCGGCCTCCGGAGCTGTCTAGTCTTCACCCTCGATCCCGGCCCCCTGAGAGCCACGGCCTTCACCCTCGAGCCCGGCCCCCTGACTTTTCCGGCCGCGGTCCTCGCCCTCATGCTCGGCCCCCTGAGTTCGCCCGCGGTGGCCTTCGCCCCTCCATAACCCCTACCTTGGACTCTGTCTTGCCCCCGGGCCGTCCGCCCGAGTCCCCCTTCTCGGCTTCTGCCTTGCCGTCCGCCCGAGATCCCTTCCGGATCCTCCGCGGTGCTCCTGGGTTGTCAGCCCAAACCCGTCCTCCTGACCCCCTCCACCCACCCTGGTGGCCCTAGTTTTATGTCCCTCCTCCGGTCCCCCTCCACCCACCCTGATGGACATTGTTTTTTTGGACGTTTATGGGACTGTTTTGGTGTTTTAGGGACGTCTGGAATCCGTCCCTTGAGGGGGGGGTTCTGTTACGATTATTGTGTTATGTCACGTTTTCTATGTCTTGGTTTGGGTGTTTTGCTGTTCTCCCTGTCATGTTTTCCTCTGGGTATATTGTCTGGTCCTTTTCCCTGTGTTTTTCCTCCCGTCGTTAGTTTCCCTGGTGTGTCTAGTTGTCTGATTGGTTTCACCTGTGGCCCTTGTGTTTCTCCTCCCCTGCCCGGCTGTTTCTCGTCTTGTGATTACCCCTCCCTGTATTTAGTCTTGTCTCTTCCTGTGTTCAGTGTCGGTTCGTCTTGTGTCATGACTAGTTCGTCGGTGAGTGTTCTGTTTTGTCTTTGTTTATCACCTAGCCTTGAAATAAAGGAATTTTCACTTTAATCTGCATTTGGGTCCTGCCTGCTTCACACACCGTAACAAATCTTCCCTTAGAGGAGAATGTGAATGTTTCATAGACTCACCTTTGTAGTAGAACAAGCAGTAGTCTGACAAAACAAACCACTTCCTTTTCCACAGTCGCATTCCAGAGCTGTCCTGGAGGTAAAGGGAAGCACAACACACAGCGTGTAAAGAAATCCTCCTCGCAGGAACACATTTCAATTCTCTTTTTCATTAAAAGTGTAGTTCAGGAATGCAGTGACCGTGAGTGGAAAGCAAGGGGGGAGAGAAGGCTTTGTTCATATAATTAAAACAATCAATTTATATAGGTTTATTTTTCATTTGCAGCATTTGGCACAAATCTGCTGTGTCTACATTTAACACGCACATGTGGTCACTTACCCTTGTGATACTATTGTGTGTTAATGTCAGCCTGTCCTCCTACAAAAAACGACCATATAGGTCGATTGTTCAGCAGCTAAATACGACCCAGTCACGTTTTAAAGTGTAGCATCTCTAGTGGTCGTGTAAGAAACAACATGCTCCTGTCGATTGCAAACGCTCCGGAGGGTCGTTTATTCACAAATAACCCTCTCTAGAAAATCCTAAATTGTGGAATAGTTTGGCCATTAAAATGATTTTTTATTAGATTTCTAGTGAGAAGTGTATATTGTACTTTTATAATCTACGTCCAGTGGATGTGTAGGATCTACAGTTTGATAGATATACGAAGATGATTTGAGGTCTCGCCAGGAGAACCTGTACTGTATATGGGGCAGCTTCCATGTAAAGTTAGCGTGGGTGAAAACAGTATTTCCGGTCTCGAAGTTTTCATAATAAAACCGGAAGTATTCACCACACTGTCAAATGATTACACAGTGATATCTCCATTACTCATCCACTAAAAAACATCAGTTTATCCTTGTTAATGACACAATATTGATTGGTTTAAATTGTGTACAATGCTTTTGTGTTTTTAACCTTCAATTCGGATAAACAAATTGTTTGTTCGGAATTTAGACACTACAGAGTTTCCGAAGACACTACACTACCCAGAATCCCCAGCTATCGTTTGGGACTACAACATCCGCCTTGCTTTACAAACCCCGTGATTAGACCTCAAGCTCTGTGATTGGATGTTGGAGTGGCAGTGCGACAAGGTTATGCCGAGTGTCAAACAGCTCTTCGAAATGGAATGGAACCACGCCAGACTATCCAAAACTGGAGTTGGACGGGTCCAGCCCAGCCCAGCCCCCCAGAATTACACATGCTGGCTATTGTGTGTTTTGCAACATGTTCTATGGCACGTCTCTACTGGGAATTGTACTTTTAAAAGACGTTTTCGTATTTCCCACAATTAGAAGTTGCCAGTATTAAACTGTATACATCCCTGGAGATTTAGGGGATACGAAACACATTGGTGTTATCAAATTTAAAACATATAATTAATACATGGGTGAAAATTGCTTGTGCCCATAATGGGCAGCATTAATATACCCACATGACAGCTAAGGTCAGAAGAGCTTTATTTAACAGCTGGTCTTATGTCTGTGACCCCTCCTGTTGTTAATTGATAAGCCTGAAACATGCACTTGTCAAGATTCAGATGCACATTTAGAAAATATGGCAGTAGCCATCGATCATCTTAAGATAAGTTACTTTAGTTATCCCAAGTTGGGAAATGTTTTTGTTACAGCAGCATGTACTACTTTGTTCTACTCCACTACAATTCAGAGGTCAACCTGGTATTTTTACTCTACATTTATTTTTGTTACTTTGCAGATTCTGATTAATGATGTGAAATATAAACAACCCTTAAATCAGACTTTAGTTACACCTGAGTAAAATACAGCCTTATCAGTTTGTCTGTTTTGCACATCCTCCTGTTAATATCTTTGGACGTCCTGCACTAAACTGTTTTATTGTACAGATCACTACAGTATCTTCTTGATATTTTCTATTCTATATTTCTATCATTGACCCCTATTTTGTATGTAGGCTACTCTTAATATTTAAATGTTTTCATCAAATATAACTTATTCAACAACTAAATTCAATAACGTGCTTTAACCACTAGGAGGTGCGGTTTAAAAAACCAGTGGTCTAGTTAATAAAACATAATATCAAACATAAGACTATTCACTTTATTGTGAAATTAAAACAGAACGGTAAAGGAGAATACAGTTTCAGTCTCTCGATGTGAAGCTTATGCATTGTACCATGAACTTGTATAGACCTGTAACAGTCAACTGCATGAGGAGTTGGAAAGGTAGTTCAGAAAATCAGTAATATCTTTAAAAACTACAAAAAAGTCCCTTTCTTTCAGCTGTGCACCGTTATGGTGTAAATACAGACTATCTACTTATTGGATCAAATATAAAAGTCAGCCGAATTAGTGATGATACTGCAAGGAGACGTATTGTGTGAAAATAAATGGAAGATGTTGTTTAATTGTTGATATATTTATGGTCCACGTCACGTATTCAGTTTTGGCGGCATCTCTTCCAGTTTGTCAAAAGGTCTTCTGATCAGGGCTCTATAAATAAATATCTACGGCAGATATGTAATATTTAATGCAGCCGAACCGTGTATTACAATGCCGTTATGTGATGACTTTCAAAGAGAAAAGCAAGAACACTCGGAATAAACTATTATTATTATTTTAAATGTTTTCCGATTTCATATCACATAAACACCATATCCCGACGTGCATTGCGGCGTGATTTTAGCCTATCAAAACCTCTGAAAAAAGAAATGTGTCTCTCAGAATCGAAAGAGAAAAACCTATGGGAAAAACACAAAAGCATTGTACACAATTTAAACCAATTAATGTTGTATAATTAACTAGGATAAACTGATGTTTTTTAGTGGATGAGTACTGCAGATATCACTGTTAAATCATTTGATCATTGGTTTTATTATGAAAACGTTGAGACCGGAAATACTGTTTTCAACCCGTAACTTTACATGGAAGCTTGCCGCATATACACGTTCTCCTGACGAAACCTCAAATCATCTTCGTAATATCTATCAAACTATAGATCCTACATAACGACTGGACGTGGATTCTAAAAGTACAATATATACTTCTCGCTAGAAATCTAATCATAAAGCGTTTTAATGGCCAAACTATCCTACAATTTAGGATTTTACAGAGGGTTATTTGTGAATAAACAACCCTCTGTAACGTTTGCATTCAACGGGAGCACTAGAGGCCGACAACTTTAAAACGTAATTATAGGTCGTATTAAGCGCTTGAACAAACGACATATTTGGTCGTAATAAGGGCTTAAACAATCGACCCATTTGGTCGTATGAGTTGGAGGACTTGTTGGTTAATGTAAAGCACTTTGAATAGCCTCTGTGTCTGAAAATGTGCTATATAAATAAACTAACCTTAACTAACCTTACTCTGAGTTTGGACAGGAATGTGTGTGTGTCTTACACCTTAAGTAAGATTTGTAAGGGCTATCTGAGAATTCAACTTGTAAAGGTTATATTTAATAGATTATTCAACTCTACACCAAGTTCTCACACATTCTCCTTTTCACGGCAGATGGGGTCTTTCTTTAAGACTAACAATAAAGCAGAGGAACACCAGCTCACCTGTTTATAGAGCCAGCCTCTCACCACCACTGGGATGTTGAGATTTCTTTTGATAGCATGATCCCTCTTGCCAAAACTGTGTACTTTTCCCAATCCTCTGGAGCCCTGTAGAAATCATTAAAAAAAGAGTTGATTATGTGGGGGCTTTACTGAAGAACTGTAATCCAATTTACTTTGCTTACCTGAGATAAAACATAGTATTTAGTAGAAAGTAGAACTGTGTAAAAATAAGGAAAAAATAACTTTCCTGGAACTCCATTCTTCTAACACTCATGAGGAAAAAGGAAATACCAACTGGTTACTCCTGTGGATGTGTGCATCCATTTATAATCAGGCATATTTTTAGACAAGGCCATTTCAGACTACATTTTTTTGATAGTACTTTTTCAGGTGCATTTCTACTGAAATACCTGGGTATGTCGGGTTGACCAGCTGGCTAAAAAAAGACACAAATGTTGAAGGGACAAATACCTCGTACAGAGTCATAAATATGACATGTTTTAATCAGACAAAATGAAAAAACACCAAAGGGTAAAGTGAGTCAATCACACAAATAATGACATATAAAAAGTGTTATTCTTTACATTATCTGGTTATCTGATAATAAATTGGTCCATAAAATGCCAGGAAAATTAGTTAAGAATGTATTCTATAAAAGCCAAGGAAACTTCTTCAATATTGCGATATTGTCAGATCCACACGATGCGTACTGTACTACTACATGAGACAAGAAAAGCAGCAAGGTTAACATTTAAAGGGCCATACAATTGTTTGGCATTTCACATTTAAAAATGTTATAAAAGTTTAATCAATTATCAAAAGTGTTTGTATTAAATATTTCTAAATTGAATAATTGCTTTTTGAAAACTATTGCAAAGTAAGAGAATAAAAAGAAAATTGCAAAAAAACGTCTTTATAGTTCAGTTGTATTGAAACATTGACAAAGTGTGTCACATATTTAGTGTAAAAAACATGGTGTCAGCAAAAATGTCCATGATCACTGTGGAAACACCAGCAAGTGTTTTGCAAAGATGCATTCTGTACACCAGACCCCTTTCCAGTCCCTGAGGATGTGCATCTGAGTTGTATTCTGCTTGTGTACATCATTTCTATTTGTGGCCAATAATCAGAATTAGATCATGTCTAGGGTTGATTGAACCAGTTTATCAACAAAAGCATTAGCAAACATCAAGAGAGTTCCTAAAGATATTCACTAACCCAAGAAGAATTGTTGCTTAGTTAGGATAACATTTTGAGTTTGAAAGAAACATTTAGATTTTCTATGAAAAAATCATTGGATAGTTAAAACTGACAAGAAAATGACAACAGACTTTGTGAAGACAATCACTGATCCTCACCTTTGACACTGAGCTGGCCTCCACTGCTGCTGGGGTCACAGCCTTGGAGGCGTCTGTGACCATGCCCGGGGATCTCTGATTGGCCGCTGACTTGGACATACGGGCTTCTATCCTACAGTAGAAAAGGTAGCAGACGACAAGATCAGTAACACGAACAGGATGAGAAGCATTTGACAGTGATATTCCTTCTTAATTCGTCGGACCAACTACAGATACTAAGGGAAACAGAGCACACCCCGCTGCTGAGCTTTCACATATAAAGGATATGACTATTTCCTGACACCACCACGCGACCTGTCACAGCCAATGGCTCTCCGGTGGATCTGTTAACTGGGGAGGATTTGTGTGCCAAACACTCCAGTGACCCTTGTCAGACACATCGTACACACACACCCAGATCAGAAAATCAACCACACCCTCTTTTTGAAAAATCTGTTCCCATTACCATCACACACAATCTATTTTAAACTATCAACAATACACACACACACACACAGCTTCTATCCACATCGCACCTCACATTTCCTCATTACCTCATGATATCACTATGAATACAGAGAAGTCAACATGAGAATTAAGCTTAGTTGAAATCAAAGTTTGGGTGTCAAGTGACAATTATTGTTATTGATTTCATTACAAAGAAGGTATTAAGGCCTAAAACAACCTTTGTTTACACTGTACATTTCTGTTCTCATGTAGCAATACTATTTCAAAGACTTTATTCCCAGGCTGAAGAAACTTGTACTTCGTGCTCAAAAAGAGATGCATCATAGATAGTGCTGAAAATGGAGCCATGATCAGTTTGATTTAACAAAGTCCCAAAAATGTATCTCAGGAATTGTACTCTGTTCTGATAACAAAGCCGTTCCAGCTGATATTTAATGTGGACTTTGTGTAAACCTCCAGAGAACTGAACCATAAAACTATGCAGACCAATGGATTCAAATGAAGTGACTGTAATAAACCTGGAAACAACCTCATATTATGATTGTTCAATAGCACTTGTGTTATTAATTAATTAATTAATTGTATGACTATGAATACATCACTTTAAACGTATAGTAATTCATTACGCAACATTTGTAAAAATCATCTGCACCTAGTTAGCCAGCAAAAGTGTCCGGCAACTGTCCAGGACTTAGCAGAGCCTCTTCCTGACTGAGTGAACTTACAAAAGGAAACCATGTGTGACCTGCCTCTCTGGCAACACTGCTGCTAGCCTCTGCATTGTTCCTGCAAAGGGGCTAAATGCAGCACTACCCTGTTGTTTTTTCCTGCGTTGTGTTGCTGTAAAACACAGAAGCTGAGGAAAAGATGATAAGCTAGAGGTGTTTGTCCGTAAATAAAAAGTTGGTAAACAAGAAGAAAAAGAGAGAGACCACAGTGGAACAAACCTACAGTGTCTGCACTCAAAGCTTGGACAGCAGCCAGCATTTTTACAGGATGCTTCTGTCCTATCAAGGGGACACTTTCTGCTGTTTTATGTGAAGTTTTCATACTGTTTACCACAACTGTCATTGGAACAGTTCCTCTGGAGATTTGTTGTGGCATGTGGTTGAGAGGAGTGATATTTCACATAACGTAGTGTAGTAGGGGGAAAAACACTAAGCTCCATCTCACTCAGCTTCTCTGGCTACTGTATGATCGAAATGAGGGCATATTTGACATGTTTTAATCCTTTAAGGCACTGGGAACACACGGGTGAGTTGACGAATTGATCATAGTGTGATAATCTATAACAAAGGCAAAGCCTCCAGGCCATCAAAGCACAGGCTGATCGACCCCGCCATGGGGAAGGACCTCCTGAAGCTCTATTTCCTTCTCGCTCTGTCCTCAATCCGATACGGGTCTCCAGGGAACACACTGAGGTTCTCCTTACTTGGAGGGCAGTCAATGATTCATGGAAGAAACCAACTTGCTTTTCAGATATCATTATACACAGAATAATCCGATAACATCCCCGTTAAAGTTAACAGAAGCAACATTTGCTACAGGAATGTCTGTGTATCAAACATTAGAAATCAAGGCTGCAACCCAGCTTTTACACTCTAACTAAACTCCAAAACTGCTTTGTGATAAAAAGGGTGCAAGAGAGAGGCCCCAAGTATGCGTCAATACAGCAAAAAGACATGGTTTGAAGGAAAGTGTACACAACATGTAGTAGTGTGTGTGTACTGCAGAGAGGATTGGATTAGATGCTAGAGGTAAAATAGCTGCTTAAAATCCACTTACACTGAGTTGACCCATATGCACAAAATATGTTATTTTTCAACTCTCCTCCTTCAGACAACTGAAGATAAATGCTAAAAGATAACATACCTAGGGAAATACTGGAAAGGATGTAACCAGTTGGACAGACTACTTTAAATGTTAACATGTACTGACAAACGTATCTTTCTCAGTCATCAATATCTCTGATGAACAGAGAACGTTACTGACCTCTAACGATGATAAAAAATAGAACATATCACAGGAGATGTGTTTAACTCATGGGATGTGTTTACTGTGGCTTAGCTTAAGTAAGAGAAAGTGTGGATATATGCTCAGCCTAAAACTGTAAGAAGATCTACCAAATCTAAATAAGAATAGACTATGTTTTGTAACTTTTGCCTGCTCCTCTCATATCATACTTGTCATGTTGTTAAAAGAGGTGAATAAAACTGATGATATTTGACCATAGTGTGACTGGCATGTCACATTAAAAGAACAATGATTTCAACGGTGAAATATGCAAGTAAGGCAACTGTAACTTTAAAGCATCTTGATGATATACAAATCCCTGGCTCAACAGAACTTAAAGGCATTGCTTTAACAGAACATATTTTAATTAGTGGGAGTGTGAAGGTCACATGCTTGTATCTAAACCTGCATTTGCCTTAAGTGGAATCTGTGCTATGCATGATCATATTACACCAGCCAGCTTAAATACTATCAGACACCTGCTGTTTTATATTGTGCTCTCAACCTGCCGTGCAGCTTTGACGGCTTTGCAGTGTGAGTTTCACATAATGACATAAAGCAACAATAATAAATACAACTGCCATGCCATGGCGTTGTACAGTTTACGGCAGCAAATAAAACAACTCAATGTTACCTCTTATTTCAAAGACTTGTTGGAGAGAATTGCTTGCCATAGAGAGATATTTGGGGATATTCTGTCAATGCTGGTAAAAAAGTCAGAAGCACAACGCAAGGTTTCATTTTTATAACTTCAACTATAGTGAGAAAAATGGCCTAAATGGACCAGGAGGAAATATAATAAATAACTTGGCTGATTGTTGAGGAGACAGATTCATGACACCAGATGTGATATTAACACAGTCAAAAGCGTATATGGGTGTCAGTCATCCCATTACCATAAATTCCATTAGGCAATAATTTTAAGAATAATACTGATGAGTCCCTGGGATCCAAAGCCACTGACGAGTGAGTGCAGTCAGTTATAAATGCCATGATGGTAATGAATACATTCAATATGATGACAACTATTACAATGCTCATCCAATTACCTGAAACTGACTGTACTGTTGAATAGACATCCTCCCCCACCCCCCTCATAATAGATTTCATCAGGGAGGGTGATTTCCCAGTCTATTTCTGGACTCCAGTCCAACCGCATGACCTTGAACTCACCTATCTGTACATTTAAGCATGCAGAGTATGCATCATTACTGGGGAAAAAGAGTGACTCACCTGTCTTGAAGTGTGTATTCTGTGTTTTCAGGGGATATCTGTCCTGTGACAGGGTGCCGAAATGATGTAGCCCTCAGGTTGTGGCTGCAGGACAGAGAGAGATTGAAAATAGTGAGGTTGAGAGGAAACAGACACTAAGGGAGGGAAACAAATAGTATCAAATCCACACAGCTGTGTTTCTATACAAAACCACATTACGATTTGCTTACAATGAATGCCTCAGTCAACTGTAATAAATGGAGAGAAATAAAGCACTGCAGCCAGATCAGCTCTCTCAGCACTCTTCCTCAGCTAGCTTACCAGGCCTTACTGTTTTCTGTTAGATGAGCGCATTCATTGCTTTAACAAGAGCATTTATGCATGTTACTGTCACAGGATAGAATACCAAACATACAAGCTGCTAGGGGGGCTGGTGATGGTGTTTGGACTTTAATATATTAGGCTTTGACTCTACTTGTATTTGTTGTCTATCATATATTCATGCGTGACTAGGCAAGGACATGATTTGGGTTTTTCTACTGTTTACAACTAAATCTAAGAAAATGAGCGAGAGCGAAGTGAGCTATTTCTATACATTTATCATTTGTCAAATACACTGATAAGGGTCTACAGCCAGAAACAACCTCTGGTCGGACACATTGAAGCACATTTCTTCCGTAAGTTGTAGTTAGAATGTGTTTGTTGTGGTTTATATAGAAATACAGCAGCTGAGGCTTCAATCATTCGTTGTGTTTGGCTTTCCATTTATTTAGTTTCTCAAAAGTTTAACACAAAACCGCTCTACTGCAGAGTGCCTGCAAGGTGGATGGCTCTCAGTTAGCTGCCACTGTTACTCAGTACTGCCATCAATTATTCCCTGGAACTTTGACACTTGAGAAACTGTTGGAATTGTATTGCATATATAAATTGTATATAAATTATACAGAGCTTTAAAAACCAAATACATTATACAGTGTAATTGTATGGAAACATATATCAACAAAGACCTGTGTGTTTCATACTCAGGTGGACAACATGAGTATAATCTGACTTATTTGTCCCATTCAGGTGGCTTGAAAATATGGATAGTGGGACAGTGTGTGATAATATACTGAACTGCACTATTATGCTTTCAAGCCTGGCGTTTGTCATTGCGGTTTTTTTAATCCCCATAACCCTTTTTTTCCCATCACCATCATCCACAATCTATCACAGCAGAAAAAAAACCACTATTCTTCAACAGAAGCTTTGAAATACAGCTACAGTAAAGCCATAGAATAAATAGTGCTGCTCTGCAGAGGCTAAATCTATATGTCGTTTTTTCTCAAACATACACCGTGGTAAAGGTAAATAGATAAACAGTATTTACCCTACCTCTATATTAATTGTGCCATAGGTAAATAAATTACTATTTATCCAGAATTAAGAGGTGAACATTCTGAGGGGGCAGCTGCAAAATGTCAGGACTATAAAGGTGCAGAATGAAATCCAGAGAAGGTGGTGCCTCACTGCAACACCATGCAGCAAAAGGAGGGGGAGAGGAACTGAGCAGGGTGAAAAGATTTACGAGTTGACATTAAAGAAAAGTTCAAGAGGGAGCACTAAACAGGAATGATGCTCAGTATTTGTGCACGCACAAACAACATACCATCACATTTAAACAATCATACATCCATGTAAAACAGCTCTCACACACACACACACACACAGGCAGGCAGGGCCAGGCTTGTTCCTGGTAACAACTCATAATTTGCTGAGCTGCACTGGACACATACAGCAGTGCACCAGCATCCCCTGTTAATTAGGAATCTGCATTCTTTGAGGCTTTTGTTTTAGCCGCATTACTTCCGAACTATTTGTCATGGAATTTGCAGCATCCCCAGTTAGTCTACAAACACTGCAGCACAGAAGGTCTACTTGTTTGCTGAAAGCAAGCTACCATCCACACTTGTGACAATATTGTCCCAAAGGGGAAAATGAACTCTTGCTGCAGAGGAACTGAATCACACAGCTTTCTTCTTAATATACTGAAGAATCCACTTTGTTTTCACTGTCACATGTAGATACTACAATCTAATGTCACAAATGTGATGCTCTATATTGACTGTGTATACATCATTAGTTGTCTTATTACATTACTCAAGGTGAAAACAAGAAATACTTTGAAATAATCTCTGCTTCTAGATTCATGTCTTCAACCCTATGAGTACAGTATATTTGAGTACAGTTTCCCTGAATCATTCACAATAGCAGCAGTTCTAATCAGCAACTTGTGTTTCCGAGTATGTATTTAATATTTCCTCAGACCAAAAGATGGAAGGGTCAGAAAAACATTCCCCTCTTAACAGAGATGTTCACATCTCTTAACACAGTTACATACAGCACTTATCCTGACAGAAGTTCCAACAACCAACAGATCAATCTTTAAGTACATTCTTTCCCACAAACAGGCACTGCCTTACACCACTTGCTTACACCATATGTTACAGGGCCCCAAACACTAACCATCAGGTCAAGTAAAGTTTATGCTTCCATCAGGCCAGATAAAGATGAGAAAGAATGAGTGGCATCCCTACTTGAGGAGAGGCTCAAGAGGGCTTTTCCTTAATGTAGCAGTGTTTACATGTAGAGATCAAGTGTCACTACTAAGTTAACAACACTTCAACTCTAAAATGTGATAAAAGATGCCACCTCGTCCATCACTTTTTACCTATTCCATTACCATGTACAACTATGTATAAAGCAGAAATAGCAGTTTTGTGAACACTCATTTTACTTGTGCATAAACCTTTACAGAAGAGAATTAAATAGGGCACATTTAACCGTGAATAAAGAGGAAAATGAGAATAGGGTGGTGACCTGGTTTATGTTTTAGCCAGGGCTTCTCAAAAGAAATATGCAGGTAAAACAGCACTGCAGCTCAAATCATAAAACTCTCGCTCTCCCTCAATTCTGCAACACTGGAGTCCACACTTCAGCCCTGGCATGCTCTATTATTATGTTGTCTTTAGCAGAACAAGAGGCTCAGAGTAATCCCTGTCCAACACGGGGCTAAGTCCAGCAAGCAAGGGGCAGTAGGGGCAAGGCTATGTGGTGTGAACACCTCTCTCTTTCTTCCTTACACAAATAGCAACACACTAAGGCTCCAAACTGCCTTACAACTCACATCACAATTGGTAAACACACTCTCCACACACAGTCTGTATCTATTCACCCCACTCTCACTCAGAAAAAAAAGTCCCTGTGGAGAAAAATAAAACTCCCCAAACTGCACCCGCTACTAGCGCAGATCGCCCTGCTTCTGTTCGCTACCTACTGCTCTGCTGTATCATCACAGTGGAGACACAGTCCCACCTACATGCCATGAGGGTGAATCAGCTGCTAGACTCACTGTGGTGCTGCAGCTCACGGATATCCTCTCGGCATTATCAGGGAAAGAGGAAGATGCAGATAGTGTCTCTCGTGGAGAGCAGCTGGCAACCGCAAAAAGCAGAGTAAAGAGGGGCCAGCAGGATGAGAGCAGGGGGGGGGGGAGCTCCTTATCTCTGCTGTCTCCTGCGCGAGCGTGCTTTCTAGGAGAGATCCACGCTTGCCGGTTAGATGGTAGAGATGTAAAACCCTCCCATCAGGGGAATACCTCAGATGTTATCAGATCCTCCTCCCTTTGCATTTTCTACTTCACTCTGTTCTCTCACCTGTCACTCCTTTCTTCCAATAATTTAATTTCACGCTAATAATCTCTTTCAAGCAAAGTTACGTCATTAATCGAGTCTTGTGAAAACGGTCTATTTTACTCCGTTGTGAAAAAGGTTCCATTTTAGTGCATTTGGGGTTAGGGCTTGCTACTGCTGTCAAAATAACTTCACTAATGAAATCGTCTGAAGTTTAGTTGGTAAGCATTTGTCACATAGGTGTGTACCTCTGAAATCCTCTGAGTGGCAGCATTGCAACAAGTTGGCATGTGGATGTTTAGCTTTTTCTCAATCCGTATGATAATGTCCTTTGACCAAAGGACCCTCACTAATGAGTGGAGTATTAAAAGCATGATCCAGAAATAGATTGAAACTTGTAAAAACATTTGAACTTTTTAGGCCCCTTTAACAGCACCACAAGGTCATTAATTGGTGGCTTCTTTTGAAGCACTGGTTTACCAGTGACATTGACCTGTGACCTATTCTAAGAGGGAATTGAAATCCCAAGTAAAGTGGCCCAGAGGAGCAGGTGGTGACACCGTAAATGTAGGCCTGAGGTGAATATTGAATCTGACAAACAACCATGGACAGGGGAGCAAGCTTATGCCTCATTTCTTTCCAACACGTAGTTAATTAAGAAGCATTTTAATTCAAATACATTCCCACAATGTGATTCAGAAAAAAATTAGTGCCAACCCACGGGGAAGCACATAAACAAGAGCTCTTAGGGCAAAGCAATTACTTTTAGCGCTATGAACACGGGCATGAAGAGCCTCTTGTCTCCCTTTATGTGGTCATTTTAATAAGCATCACAGCATCAATGTGGTGTCGAAAAACTCAAGAAGAAGAAAGGCTTCACGCCGAGCCAATAACCGGCCGGTAAGATCACCTGTTACTTCTCTGTAGGCTCAGCGTGACATTAATCTGTTGCTTTTTGATCCTTTTACTGTTGAGAATAGAACAATAAGGCAACACATTAGTTAGTTTATTATAAACATAGACAGTCAGGGTGTTTTTTTACAGTTTTAATTAAATGTATTATTATTATTATTATTATTATGATATTATTAAACTCATATCTTGAACAGTGTAGTATTATAAACGTCAGATAGTAACCTTTATTTAGACTTTCATTGTAGCTCTGAAGTAAACCACAAATCAATCTTCTTCAGTGAAACCTCTAATCACCGGAGAACAATCAACGGAAATCATTTACTTCAGGGCTTCTGACTTCATATCAAGACCAACTCAATTAGCTGTAACAAGTGTTTAATTAATATCATCAGTAAGCCGTTAATACTCAGATGATGTGCTTCTGCATAGTCAAACAAATAAGCAAAAAACAAACCAAAGAAGGGCCGCAACACATGAGGTTAAATGAGGTGCCATAAATTAATACTGAACTCTGTATTG